TTGCATCGTCAGGCTACCTGGTCGGTAGGCCTCAGGCAAGTATTGGATATAGTCCAGGGACTATATCACCCCTTCCCAAAGTAGTTGACTAGCAGAGAACAGCAGAGACGGATCCCAGGGTGTGACAATATCTTTAAAGATGAATCTTGCTATGGTTACTGCTGTTAGGGCTATTATTATATATACTTCTATCTATCCTAATAAGGACTCCTGCGCTACTGCTAGGCAGTAGGGGCTTATGCCTCTCCTAATGATATAGACCATATCTATGTGCTATTTCTGAAACAGCTTACTGGGCTGAGTAGGCACTATCTCCTCCTCTAAGCATAACTCTGCTCCTCTTTAGCATGTATTATAGCTCCTGTACTAATCTAATATATCCTTCTATAGGCTGGTCCACTAGTACCTTATAGTGACCTTCTAGTACATGCCTTCCCTGCCCCAGTGCCTAAGTTCATTATATATTAAAGACAGTATCTATTCCTACTTCTATTTATTATCTACTATATGATAGACTAGCTTTGATTTCCCTACTTTTTAGAACAGGATGTAATCCTGTATAAAGAACTTTATTACCTTCTTTTTAAATTACTAGAACTTACTCACATTTATCTCAGCAGGCCTCTCTAGGGTTAGGAGCCACCTTGTGATGTAGAGCAACTCTTCTAACCATATCTCTAACTTAACTAGGGAGGGTACATCCCTCTGGGGCTCATGCTCTGCTGGTGATATATAGAATATCACACTGAATTATATATCTAAGAACTCCTCTATGTTATTACTTTCTGCCTTATATGTAGCGGGCAAGGCCCGCTGAATGCTCGAGCTCACTGAGCACTCGCGAACTGCCTCAGGCAGGCTAGGTCACGTGATTCTGTACTAAGTAATGTCGTGAACAGCCATGTCACGTGACCCCGTTTCTCCCTCGCACACCCCTCTTCGTGTTCGGCCGCTGCGGCCCCAGTTAGAACCTCTTAGCGATTTCTTACCGTCCAAACCTAGGTTATAGGTTGAATCGGCTTCTAGCCCGTGACATTATATCTTACTACTAAAAAGTAGCCTCTTTATTCTTTACTACTAAGAAGTAGCCTTAGTAGATTATTAATCTTTTACTACTTAGAAGCAGCCTCTTAGATTAATCTAATTATATAGTTTTCTTCTAATTTAACCTAAGATCTTAGGGAAGAGAGTATATCCCTTAAAATAAAGCTATTCTAATATCTCTAGTAGACTAGGCTCATAACTATTAGATTACAGGTAATATTATAATATGATTATGCTGGTAATCTAAGTATATAGAGGTTAAACTAGGATATATTTATACTATATCTATAAATATATATGTTTTTCTATATAAGGAGCAACAAGACTAGAAGTTATATATATTCTAGTTAACTAAGACTAACTAGAATAGGCAAGATAAGCAAGTGTAAAATATATAATCTAGTACTAAAGATATAGTGCTTCGACAAGTTTGAACTGAGTGTGTCAGATATGATGGCTAGAAATAATAAAATAATGTCAAGTAAATAGCTTGCTTGCTGCTCTGGTGTTTCCTACTCTACTCCTAAGGCTTAGAGAGCTTCCAGTGAGGTCCTTAGTTTTTTGCTAATCTCAGACTGTACCTGCGACTTTGTTAATGCCAAGTATAGGTATATGTTGTAGGGCGATTTAAGTCACTAATAGAAAAGCTCGCCGTGTGTTTGCAGTCACTGTCTCTTGAAGGTGGATATGCAATGTGTTTATTCTGAACTTATCGTGGGAGACAGTATTCCAGGGGTGCTCTGAACAGAGCTTCTCCTTTAAGGTTGTCTTAATTCACATTTCAATCCTGTAGTTCCTTCTGCCCTAGGTTACTAAGAACCACCCATCCTAGCTTTATTTCCATCTCTCTTCCTTTAATAAGATTAATAACTTTGGTCTCAGCGCCCTTGTCAACTAAGTCTGGCTTTATTATAACTCTAAGTGTCCTCTCGCTATTTGGATCAAGTTCACAAGCCATCTTAATAATCTCTTGCGTTGCAATATCAACGTTTGCTAGGATAACTATGAGCATGATCAACCAAGGGTTTTTCATATAACCAGGTACCATATCTCGAACCATAGTTTTGTCATCTTTAGTGGTTAACCCTGGCGTTGTGATTCGAGAGATAATCTATATAACAATAGAGTAATCGTGCTGTCCACCTTAGAAGTCATACTCCATATATAACCGTCAATCAACCGCATGCATCATGATCTAGTTGCGGGGTCACTGTCAGCAACTTGCAGTTTCTCCTCTGTAGGGTGAATCGCTTAATATAAGAATCCTTGAAAGTAGCAAATCATGTACGCGCACGCTTCTTGACGGGATGGGGCCAACTGGTACGCTTTGCTTCTTTCGTCCTCTCAGCAACTACCGTCCCAAAGATGGCATAGCTTGCTGGAGACTCGGACTCCAAAGAGTATATCTGCGGTGTTAGAACACTACATCTTTGGTTCATTCTTGGAAAATGTCGCTGATGTGTGAGGCAGGCTTCACTACAGTGCTTCTTCAGATGCAGTATCATTTATTGAGTTTCGTCGCTAGAGGCTGTCGCCTAGCTCTCTTCTCTATCTAGATGGATGTAAGATATTGCAACGACGATGCTGGTCTCCTCTAATTACCTTGTCGTTCAGGCCCTCCACGTCGCGAACACTGGCTCATCAATTTTGTGTCTCCAATCAATTCACTGCACCGAGCTATTGGCCAACCTCTGGGTCCAGCTCCGAACTCATTGTCAGAAAATTGATGCAGAGTGAGGAAGACGGCGGAAGAACCATGACATTGTTATGAGGAGTATGACGATACTCTGAAAGAGTCCAGAGAAGGAAATGACGTTTCCACATAAGCCATTCATTGTTGTTAGTGGTGAGCGTGGACCAGGCAGTATGAGCCGGAGAGAACTCTATAGCTGCGGAATGCTCATTGGCAGATTTCCATAGAGCGCTTTACTCAAGAATCATAGAGGCTAGGACTACCTTCTAATGCCAAAAGGATTACCAAGGTCTATCAACTGTGATAGTATGGGATGAATTCCACTGCATGACTATAGAGCTTGATCGTCGCCAGGGACAATATCAAGTGCCACAGCTAGACCTATTCGCTGGTTTCAGAGATAATATGGCAGAATTGAAGATTCAGGAAATGTGGAAAGCCTCCAGTCCAAGTATCTTTAGTCCCTCTTCCACCGTGCGAAAGTTTAGAGGCAAAGGTAAGCAATGTGTACTCCAGGATTTGCAGAAAGCTTAACCCCTTGAATCACCTACAAAAGCCCCAGTGCAGCGGCAGCGACAGCCGCAGCAGCAGCCTGACCGAGTCCCATATTCCCCGAAGCAGCGTTCACAGCGGCAGCGTTCACACCGGCATCACTCGCAGGCGTCTGCGTCGCTTTAGACGCCGTCAACTTCTCCACGCCAGCAGTCACCACAATAGGCGTATACCAAATGTCATGGGAGGAAAAGGTAAGCGTCGCCGAGGATGTGGTGAAGGTTTTTGCTCCGAGTGCCGAGACCTCCACCCTGGCGGACATTGAGCATACGGCCAACTGGGTGGAGGAGGTGATGTCGCAGTCTTGTACGACAGTGTAGGTTTCCTCGACTCCACCCGCCGAGGCTGAGTAGACTGCGCTCACGGTGTAGGTGGATGGGCCCTGGGTGATGGTGAAAGGGCTGCAGAGGGCGCAGTGAGCATTGGGGGGATATATGTTTCCCTCACACCTTATGGCGAGAGTGGTGGCGACGGCATTGGCATCGACGATGCTGGCCTCGACGGCGTGCAGAGGAAGGGTTGTAGGGCCGGCGTTGAAGACTTGGACTTCGGTCGTCTGCGCGGAAACAGTGGCAGCCAGACCCGCGAGGAGGATAAAAGCAGAGTGCATCATGGGCAGTTTGATTGAGCAGATTGTGAGCAATTGTAGCTGAATTTCTGGGCTAGGCAGTAATGAATGTCAAAGCCGACTGCGCAATGCGCTCTTCTTATGTGTGGGATGTGAGCATCGGGAACCATTCTGCCTAATGCAGACAAGGGAATCCCCGAAGACAGCACATTGTGTTACATTGCGCTGAGATGCAATACCATTTCCTTTTGATTGTTCCGGCGCTTGTCAGATTAGGCTACGATATGTAGTATAGTAGGATCGACGAATTCCATGTGGCCTAGCCTTTTCTAGTCGCCATTAACAACCGACTACGCCACTGCAAGGCTCGCACCATGGAGTACAGCCTCAGAGGCCGATAGGCGGGCGAATGGTCCGGTCCGCAGAGGCCGAAGTATCGTCTGTCTGTGCTACAGGGATGACGAGAGTCTGGAAGGAGTAAATCCGGACGAGGAACTTGATTGAGTGACAATAGCCATGCATCGCATTCAGCATACACTCTGTTGAGTTAATTCCGCTAGTTAGCCCGAGTGTAAGTATGATAAGAAGATGGTAAAGGAATGCAAAATAATCTATGGTTTGGCTCAGTCGCATCAAACCTAAGGTAGATTTCAGTTCTCTTCTCACTGCCACATCCATTCTGATCTGCATGTACTGATAACTGTGCTTCAGCACCGTCTCCACAATGCTGTGACACTTGCTACTCATGAGCAAAGGCTGACTACTTCTGAACCATAAGACACTTTCACTGAAGAAGCGTGTGCAGTGAGGAGGAGACAATGTTGAGCTGTTGAGCTTTATTATGGGTGAATATCACAGACTTACTCTGTTCGAGGTCATATGAATGCCATACAGAACCTCAGCAATGGTGGCAAGAAATCCAGAACCTGACTCTTGAGCTGCAGAAGCCATGATATAGACTATAATTTCTAATCTGGTGAATATAACTAGAAATGGAAGTGTATCTGCCAGGATACCGAAAAATCAGCGGAGAATATCTCAAAGCAAGGACAGAGAAGCCTAATTTTCGCCCACAGCGGTTGAATGTTTTAGTGGTGACTCAATACTTTTGATTAGAACGTAGGTATTAGCAACTACTATAAGATATACAAGCGAATAGCTTCAAAAACGAGAAGAAGAATCGTTGTGGCACCTTTCCAGTCCAACGAAAATGCGAACAACAGCAAGACCATGCATTCCTCAGATGCTCTCAGGAGACTTGAAATTTTAATCTGCCTCGGTGGAAATGAGAGCGAAAGGAAAAAAACCTCAGAACGCAGTTCAACAGTGTGATCAATCAGAGTGAAACTCCTGATGAAAAAAGATACGAACATGCAAAAAAACGAGGTCTTTGCTCAAACTCCAGCAGTTGAGAATTCTCGAATAATAATACCACTAGGCCAAAAAGGCGTCCGGAACATGTACTCATCAGTCTAGGGTTTCATATCCATAGTCATAGTGGTATCTTATTCCAACAAGAATGGATATCGACTCAGCGAAAGTGACCCACGGGACATACGCTTTTCGAGGGTGTCTGGTGTCGTACCTGATCACAATGTAGAGCGGAGGCCGATGCCATTCTTGCATGTCAAAAACAACCCGTCAGGTTATGGTAGTGTTGTTCATCCATGTGTCTTGCAAGTGAAAAACTCGCGTGAGTAGCGTGGATTCTGTAGCAGTTGCGCAAAGTGGATGAAACAATCTGCACACTCAGCGTCGGTAAAGGCTTCGCTCTTGTAGGTCGAAATATGTTGCCTGGCTTAGCAAATGTCGATTTGTGGCGCCTCGGATGATGTTCGGCGTCAGTTGAGTTCGCAGTTGAAACCAATAGACTCAAACATCCGCTTCTGTAGCCGATGGCTTGCCATAGACCACACGGTCTAGGTAAAAGTGCTGATTCATGGCTTTATGACTGCGTAGCTTCCCATGTTTGATCCTCCTTGTTGTGACGAGAAGGCACGTTGCCATCTGCTGCCCCAGCATGCTCGGATGGTTTAACATCAGTTCGACCCGTTGGCATCATGACTTCCCGGTAAAAGTCTCCGTTGGATTGTGTTAAGATCCTACCATACTCGACTGGAATTGCAATTGCAGAGCTGAAAGCCAAGGGTATATCTCGGGGAACGCCATCGCAGCGTAGTTGTTCCAGGCAGAGTCTCTCTTTATCCAGCCTAATGATGTCATTTGAACTGTTCAACTCAGTGTCAATTCAAAGCGATAGGAAATCAGTGTGTCGGTAGATCAGGTGGCATGCTTGCTGAGATGCGATTGCCGACCTTTCCTAGTATTGGGCATAGTAAGCCTCCTCGGATCGCCGATATGGTGACTTGAGGCTATTCTTCACAGTGATGAGTTCAGCTAACAAAGTTCCAACAGCAGCAATGAATCATCAATGAATTCGCAGGGCACATGGTCATGCTCTCTAAAGGTAGGGATGTGATGCGTCTGTGCACAATCTCTCCTCCTGATGGGTCCCGAAGGCTCGCGTCCATGGTTGTTCCTTCATTATCTAGTATGCAGGAAACCACCAATCATCGGTGACTTGTCATGCTGGGCGCGTGAAGTCAAGATATGCTTCCGGCAGTGTTGTGAAGCTGTTCAAAAAGAGCACAACCCTCGAGTGTCATTCGAGTGCACCCTTGCACGGTTGCCAGTTGAACATGCAGAGAAAGACTTCATGGGGTTCTGCATTGCAGTGCAGAAGTACGACCAGGGATACTAGAAGCTGCCATGGCTCTATCTCTGTCGTATCTTGATTACGACTGCCAGCTCCTGGAAGTCGAGACTAGACGTAGGCGACCCCAATCAGTCGAGTGTGCAATCACCCGATGAGCACATAGAATCTGCTAATGATCGTCCATATATCGAGCGAGTTGCCATAAAGTCGAAGAATCATAGGATTCTACATTGCCGCGTATCGACGCTGAACGCAGTGAAGAGTCCATCTGCAAAAGCCGTTGGCCTTGACTGTTCGACGCTTGTATCCCTTGTTCTTGAGAGCCCAGACCAGTCAACTGGCGCACTCTGACTCTCCAATCCTGAGATTTAGTAGGCGCAGTCTGTTATCCATGTGGGTGAAATAGTCGCGAGTCTCCTTCTCTCGCATTCGACTTTTAGCGGACGCTTCGCCAGATGCCTCAAATCGAGGATGCATCAAGTACATTCCCGGACTCCGCAGTGTCATGGTCGAGGATTTGAGGCTGTCTTTTGGTGGACAATACCCTCAGTGTTGATTGGGAAAGGTATCAAGAGTGTAAGCCCATCCTGTAAGATACGTAAAATAGGTGGTGCAAATCATCATCGAATAGATAGCACAGACGCAAGAACAATAGTGATGAAGCCTGTTTTCTTTCCAATTCTTTGTGCAATCTGAAGGCGAATCTGATAGTAATCGCAATACTCTAACATCCTTAGATTGTAGCGCCATTGTTGATAACGGGCTGGCCATGACAGGAGTGGAAATATAAAGGTGAGCCTCTCCAGAGCATTCAATAGTGGCAATGAGCTTCGTTTTGACAGAACATGTTGTCAAACACGACATGGAGAAGTAGGACGAAACTCAATGAAGCGCTGCTAGCATGCGGTCTCGCACCGTAGAGTTCGCCATATGAATGGAATCAACTCCAAACTCTGTGCCACCCACAATGGGATGTGGATCGGTATACCTAATTCCGCCTCTTGATGGCCGTTCTATTCAGCTGGAAACTGACTGCTGAGCAAAACTGCTCCAGCGATGGCCGTCGAGTCCGTCGAGTCCAGCAGTCAATAAGTACCAATGCTGTTTCCATCGATGTCTGCCTTCACATGTCTTTGCATCCCGACGAATCCGCTGAGGAGGTCCTTTTGCTCTTCATCCATGATTCTATGCCGATGCATTCGGGGCATCCTCTTGACTCCGCAGCAGCATAATCAATATTCCGAACTTGTTATTGCTGAGTGACATTGTTCTTTATTTGATGCTTCCGGACGCGATCAAATTCGACACTCCGTGAGCGTTTCAAATGCCGCAGCATAGTTGATCATGGAACCATGGAACAGTAGGCGTCGTAATCAACGCTTGTGAATCAAGACCTTTTAGCCAATTCCAGGCCCAGAACTAGAAGAGCACACCGTGCCTCCAGAAGTTGGCCAGCCTCGAAGCACACTCCAAGGTAGCTGAATTTCGGTTCGTTCAGAGAAATTGTCAGAAGCATCTGTCCCGTTCATGCTTGACTCCATTCCGCCGTCTGCAAAGCTCTGCCGCAATCTCGGTTATAGGCGGATGGATTATCGACATCCCATACATGCTGAGATATACTCGATGCAATGCCCAGCATCGTTATGTGAGCATTGATGGTTTGCGCGTCTATCCTTGTCGGAAGAGGTTATGCACAAACTTCACGAGTTGTGCCGAGTAGAGGAGATACTTCCTGTTGAGGACACTCGATTGGTAGGCCGACTATCAGCTCCAGACGATGCAGGATATTGAATAATAATACCACTAGGCCAAAAAGGCGTCCGGACGATGTACTCATCAGTCTAGGGTTTCATATCCATAGTCATAGTGGTATCTTATTCCAACACAGGAAGACCATCAGTGCGGCGCTGGGCGTTGCTTCGTCTTCGGCATCAGGAAGATCCGTGGAGTTTGATGTTTGGATCTTTCCCCTTCTGGTGTCGAGGCGCTTGATGACGACCACCGACGTTTGGGCTGGGTTGCTTCGCTTTCTCCAACGGGCTTTCTTTGGTGTCGATAGCCAGTTTCTGACCAACAATTTGAACGAGTAACGATTGCAAGCATGAAGAAGACACATTGGCTAGAGCGTCGCTGCTTGTTCAGTGATAGCTGGAGCGGGCTTTGGCGGAGTTGCTGGAGGCCAACTTAGGGGGGTTGACTCCATTGAGGCATCCGCTGCTGCTGCGACATTGGTATTGTCGGTGCCCCTGACTGCTGACTTACAGGGGCCTTTAATGAGCTCGTTGGCGTTGGCGTCAGCGGTCGATATCTGCTGGCCTGGTATGGCAAATTTCCTCGCATTGCTCCAGCGAAATGAACTAAACAGCGCAAATAGCCCCAGCTAAATGTCGATGGTGAGTCACTTGATGAGAACCGTAAATGGATCCTTGATGCAGCCATGGAGGGTAGAACGCAAGATGCGATGTATGGCGTAGTACTGAGTACAATCACAATGCCATCTTGAGCTTCTCGAAACTGAAAATAAATGAAGAGAAAAAAAAGATCCGGTAGAAAGCATCGATGATCCGCGGGGGATCACCAACTGCACCATGACTCTCCACGACCAGGCCAACGCCACCTGGGCCATGCTCGGTGTGAGAAGCGGCGCATGCTTGATGACCATAACTGAATGGTACGAATAGTAGCGTTGGAAACCGGCCAGCAGGTCGTAGCGTAGGAGGACTCTGGGGTCGATTGACGGAATCGAAGGTTGCTCGTCCGTCAAGGGCACGATTGCTTCGTCTGCGAGCCTAAAACAACATATCTCAGCGTGTCCTTCTCTGGTGTGGAGGGCGTCTTACCTTTCTTTTGTTTCTTTCCCTTTTTTTGGGATTTTCCTTTTTTTTTTTTCTTTTTCCACCACGCGGAGACCAAACCAGGACAGATCTGAAAATCAAGTCAGCTTCAAGTGAAGAAAAGCGTGCAATAGTCCATACCGAAACAACCTTGATACTTGATCACATTCAGTCAATACTGGGTGCTGTACAGCACGCTCAGTTTTCCAGCAGACGCTGCGTGTTTGTGTAAGCCTCAATGACATTAAACACAACAAGGCGAGGCCTTCTCACCTGCAATCAAAAAATGATCCTTTTCAGACGGAGGTTTCCTTGTCCAAGGTGTCCACATTGGGCTTCTGCTAAGGCTGCCGATCCAACAGCTGCTTCTGCGTCCTGACCGGTTTTTCCGCAGGTAACTGCCCCAGTGCAGTGCACTCAGCCTTGCAGCGATTTGGTGGAGCGTGGATTGAAGCAGCAAGTCCAACCGGTCCCAACTGTCGAAGTAGGCGTCTCAAGCAATCCGGTGTTCTGATCGGCAGAGAGAAGAGCATGACAGAGAAAGAGGAAGATGTCTAAGGGTGGCCGGATGGATATTTATAACTCAGCTTGACCACTGAAAGCGTTGATATTCACGTTGGTATACAGGGTTAAATTCACGTTTTGTAAACAGAGTGAGTTGAAAACAGGAGTCTTGATGTTTTGGTTCTGCTTCACTATCGCCATGGCGATGGTGTCATCTATGTAGTGACGGTCTACTATAATCAGGAACCTTCCGTGAATATCATTAAGTGATCCTCTACGTCTTCATCTCAATATTAACGCTGGTGGAACTGGCAGGCATGATCTTACTCCACCCTCCGGGAATGTGACATGAATATTCACGGACATGCTATCAAGATCATCACCTCATCTTCATTCTCCTGTATTCACGTTGCTCTCTAAGCGAGAACTTAGCCTCGCATCTCATCACATCGCGAGATATAAATACCCCTTCTCATCTCCCTCCTTCTCTCCCCTTCTCCTCCATCCATCCATAAGCACTCTCACTATCAAGCTTCTCCTCAGAGTCAATCTTCGTTCATCACTTCTCAAAACAACAAACCTATTCCACAAACAACAGCCAAGATGGTTGCTATCAAGAATCTCTTCAACGCCCTCCTGGCCACCGCCCTCATCAGCGGCACCAACGCCCTTCCAGCCCCGGAGGCCATCGGAGACGTCGTGGACACCCTCAACGTCGCAGCAACCAACTACGACCACCTGCACAACGCAGTCAAGGCCTTCAACGGACAGGCTGCCCAGTACGCCGCCATCACCAACAACGAGGCTGCCGTTGAAGCATCCGTTCAGCGCGCCATCGACGCCGCTCATGCCACCCTTCCTCTTTCCGACGAAGACAGCAAGTTTGTGATGCAGGCTCTTGCGAAGCCTTACCCCGAGTTCATGGGCAAGCTGCTTGGTGATATCGTCGCCAAGGTGAGTCGCCGTTTGGACTATCATTATGATATACATGATGGGATGAGACTGATGTTTGGAATAGAAACCCCAGGTCAACCAGGTTGGCAAGAAAGGTGATATGCTGCGCATTCTCAACAAGCTGAGCGTTCTCTCTGCGGAGCTTCCTGATGCTCTTGGGGAGAAGGTGGATGCTAAAGATGCGGAGTTGATCAAGGGTGGAGAAAAGTGGGTTCAGGGATTGTTTGGTGCTGCTATCAAGGCTTACACTCAGTGAGTCGTTGACACGGGACGTGGTAGGATGTGATCTGGATAATGTAGTTGAAACTTGGAATCATTGGAGATGGTGTCATGATCATTAGGATCACCTGCAGTTCTTATTTAAGACTGCGATGAACGAATACATTGGTTTACGACTATTTGATCCCATCGAGCACAGTAGATTTTTTTCAACACAGTATTCAGAGTCTCTCAATCCCTCGCTCAACGAGAATATACCGCGTTGTACAACAGCCTTGCATGTGCGCTGTTATCCATCGGCTCTCCTCTCAAATACAGCGCATCAGTTGGAGACATGGGCTATCCGTCAGTCTCATCGAGCACCAGCCGCGCAAGTTTTGGTGCCCGTTGAGCATCCGATAATAGCCCTTTGCGCCGCCTCCAGTCATGCTGTTGCGGACATAGGTAATGCGTACACGAGTGGAATAGATAGAGGGCTCATAACCCATAATTTACGCACGACAATTATGAGGTGAACAGGGAGTGGTGAGTGGTAAACAGGATGCTGTTGACCTTGTAGTGAAAAGTGCTCAGCCTTGGTCGCAGTGTATTGGGTCAGACGAGGAGTCTAGATAGATATCCTCTATGACAGACATTCATTCGATAATGGCGCAAATCTCATTCTTCTAATACATGCGACAGGCTCCACCAGTTGCTCAATTCGAATAAACGCTAAAAAGTCACTTTGAACATCGGATGCATCCGAATCCTCTTTCCATGGTAGTAAAACACCACAGGGAGCGGCAGCATCGCCAACGCAATGAAGCCCAGCATCGAATTCCCCCATCCCAGCCCTAGTCTCGTATACATCGCCGGCCCCGCCAGCGGCAAAAACGCCCCTACCAACGATCTAACCACCGTCATTGAAGCCGTCACAGAAGCCGCATGTTCACTGAACGCATCGACGAGGTATGTCTGGATAGGCAGGAAGGACGCTAGCATGCCAAATCCTACCCATCCAGTCCCGACAATAGGCATCATCCAGTGTAGCTGTTTCTCGGCGGACCAGCCGTACCAGAACAGCCCGATAGGGACAAAAAGGCTTCCCGGGATGAGAGGGGGCATGCGAAATTTAGGCTCGCGTACGCCGTTGTTTCTTTTCGTAAGGTAGATGAGGATTTTGTCTGAGATGGTGCCGAAGATGAGGAGGCCGATAAGGGAGCCGACGCCGATGCCGAGGTAGGTGAGGCCGGCGGCGCCTTGGGAGAAGTGGTAGGTGGTCTGGTAGACGGAGGTAATGGTCGTGAAGAGGAGGTAGAGATAACCGTAGACGATTCCTGGTTCGGTTAGGAGTGTGAGTCTGAGTGGATGAGCGTACATACCGATGTAGATGGAGAAGATCGCCACGATGGGAGAGAGAAAAAGCATTTTCGTTGGTCGGACAATTGACCGGATGAAGTCGTCTCTGGCGCTGATGTTCCGAGCGAGTTTAGACCGTAGCTCCATGTTACCCGTCTCTTTCCTGAGCTGGTCGACGCGTCGTTGGAGAAGAACCGGCTCGTAGCTCTCGGTTTGAAAGAGGAGCGAGAGTGCAAAGACCGCACCGGCCTTGGCAACGATTAGATGATCCTTTGCTTCTATATCAGAGAGGATACTAACTGCCATGGAAATGACCCAGAATATCCACCTCCACCCCGCGGCTTCGGCCAGATATCCCCCGGCAATAGGACCAACCACCGGCCCCATCAATGGACCCATTGAATAGATCGACATGGCTGCACCTCGTTCCTCTGGAATAAATAGATCTGCAATTGAGCCAGCACCCAGTGTAAGCGGACAACTGCCAGCTATTCCAGCAAAAAGCCGGAAAGCCAGTAAGGAACCAATATTTGGGGCAACCGCACACGCTATATTCCAAACGATGAAGACGACATTGCAAGCTTGATAGATCCGAAGACGACCGTAGATCTCGGATAAGGGTCCGAGGACAAGAGGCCCAACAGCAAATCCAACCAGGTAGATCGATACAACAAAGCTGGCCAACGACTCGCTGGTGATATGGAAGCTCTCGATGACCAGCCCCTGGGCGGGTGCTACTATCGAGGAAGCCAACGGGGTAAGGAAAGTAAGGAAAGCAACGCTAGTCACATTCAGCCATTTCCGCTTCTTGTGCCAGTTGACTGGTCTGGCAAGGTCATCGGGCCCGTCCCAGTCGACTAAATGCGAGGTGACAAGTTGTGTTACGAAGCAATCTGATGGCGGATTTTCACGTTGCACAACCAGGTTCTTTTCCAGATCGGAAGAACTGGTTGACTTTTCGCTGCTCATTGCACGCTCTCACTTTGGCCAGTGCATTGGGCACTATATCGATCCAGTATACACAGCCGAGGTCTTTTTCGGGTAAGTGACAAGATGAGGCAGTGTCAATCTATGGGAGAAAAGCACAACGTGTCCACAAGGAAGTAAAATCTGGAAACTCATACAGCTTTATTCATTGTAATGTAGCGAGCATAGAAATCAAGACGGACATCTTGTCAATCCCATGACAACGACGCTTATAAATCTGTCCCCGCTGTTGACCATCTCCTCCCCCGCCTTTTCCCCAGTGCGGAATCAACCGATACCCACCTGGATGAGTGGTATAGTATTTTAATCCCTACAAAGCCATTGGTTCAAGAACAAGTTATGGCAAAGATTAAAAGGCCGGACGATTCATTATCAGGGTTTGTGCACACTTTTACCCCAATGTGGGCGGGGGTTGTCCGATTCATCGATGCCGATTATCCGGTCAGTGTCGGTAGCTAGCACAAGATCGTGACCGAACAGCAATAGAAGGGGAAAGCTTTAAGGGCTAGATACAGCTGGTTACAAAAACGGCGCAAATGTTTATACTCCTGGAGAGTCTCTGGAAGCCTAAGGCTAAGCTGTAGTTGGAAAGGACATGGAATAGCTATTTTCTCTGAAACTTAGTGGTAATCAAATTGCTGTACTGTCGCTGTGATATCTGGTTTATTCATTACCTACTATCTCTGTGTATTCTTGAGGAGGTACCTGACAAGCTGGCGGTCCAGGCTGATTCCATTAAAAGGAGCAAAAGCTTAGCAACTCTCTACCTGACCCTTATATTATGATTCCTCAGATGAGGTAAGCATATATAAGAACGCTCAATCGCAACCATCGTGGCACCACTTTCGATCTGGCTGTCTTTGTCTGCTCAATTAGCCCGCGTCTGGCACAGTGAGTGCCTAGAGAGAACATAAGGCATGACCACATTGCACACAATTGTCACAAAGGCTGAGACTCATTGGTCCAATCCCACATTGACAACAAATCCATAGGATATCTTTGCAATCAAAGTCGATTTCCAAAGGCTCACAGGTTATGCACATCAACGAGGCATACCACGGTCCTGCTTGAGCAAGGAATTGTGCTCGGCGAATAAGTCCACTTTCCCCCATCTGCATAATATCATTTTGCGATGGCGTTGGCTCAACCCTGGGAAGCTTCAGTATATCTTCCAAGCTCAGTTCGCCCAAGGTCCCACTCTGCACGCTAAGATTGGATTCAAGAAATCAATTGATATAAGGATATAGGGGCAATAAACTCACTCGGTGTATGCTTTTGGACTCGTCTGTATTTGGACCACAGGAATAATGGACAGTAGCTCCTTTGCATAGGCAGCTGCTACCGCTGCTGCATAGGGCTGCCACAGTTTGTTCTTATGCGAGTCTGCATAGTCGCAGATACCGCGTATTACCAAGCATTTGAAGTCGTTCATAAGTCCTGCCGCCTCCATCTCAAAGCACAGAATGTCACCACCGAGGTCGCCCACGACACGGTCTCTCATCAAGCCCTCTTTGATTACTTGATTTCCTGAGGCGATCAAGCCATAGTGGATGCGAGGATTGTTTGATGAACGGGGTGGACGAGGAACTATGTGTTCTCTGCTGCAATTAAGGCATGTCTCGTCTGGATCCCCCATATGTTGATACTCTGGTTCAAAAAGAACGTCATACTCCGAACCTGGGTAAGAGGGTCTGGTCCTTCTGGTAAACCGCGCCGTAATCTTTGCCAGATGGAGCGGAATACGAGTGTCGCCGATCATACGGTCTGCTTCCAGATGCGAGATTGCTGCTAGTAGAATGGATGGTGGTTTGTTCAGAGCACCGGTACGCTGAAACCGATTGCCACTGGTGGCTTTACCATGGTCATACTGCACAACTCCACCAAAGGTACTTGTTGGCTTGCTGACCACAACGTCACCAAGTCTGATATCTAGATCTCTGTCGCTCGGTACCCCGCCCCCAATACCTACTAAAAGGGTGAACCGGAGTTCGGGGAACGTGTGAAGCATGTGGGTTGCAACCAGAGTCGCAGAACAGATGCCATAAATGCCGAGCGGCAGACAGGCAATCACTATATTATGACCATAGAGTTCTCCCAAGGTATAGACATTGTGATCGTTTGGGGACTGAGGCAGACGAGGATGTATCGTCTCTAACATCACTTTGCATGCTGCCATCTCCACCGGCAGCGCGCATATCCATCCGATAGTATAATCCGCGTGAGATCTTTGAGTTGTGGCCATTTTCTGTTTGACGATGTTTGATTTTGTTGCTCAGCGACTGTGAGAATTGAAAGATGGACTGTCTTGGAGCCACAAGGCTAGGCTAATACCCGAATGGCTGCGGCGGTGCGCAGCAAGAAACACAATAGTTACTTACATTTGGCAAGTAAGCCTTGTTGAGCTGGTGCATGGTGGACACTTCTAATGATGAAGGTTGAGCACTGGGGCTATTGCTTGGGTTGGTCCACGTGTCTGCGATAAGACCAAGTGACAGTTGAGCTATACCATTTGAGGTTAGGTCATACTTGCTTATCCGAGTCACATGATTGGTCCATTGCTGATGTCTCAAAATAGAAGAATTTTCTGCCGCATATCGCTCACCCCGCGTGTTTCACCGCCCCCCGCCTACAGAAAAATTTCCGCCGAGTCGTTGCATCGCAAACCTTCTCGCTGCTGGGTACCAGCAGTCACCAGCTGTGCTCCGGGCAATTGGTCTTGAGATTAGTCAATTGCGATTTCCTTTTACCTCCATCACCCCATCATCATTTGATATTGACAGTCTCAACCCGTACCATTCGGTCAAACGCCGTCACAATGGCCCAAGAACAGATTCCGTCGGCCACGTTCGACACGATCCTTACTCTGGATTTCGGATCGCAATATGTAAGATGAGGGTTGCAGCATACACGGGGATCTGCGCTAATAGATTAGACCCATCTCATTACCAGAAGACTGCGTGAGATTGGAGTATACAGTGAGATGCTGCCATGTACTCAGAAGCTGGCCGACCTTCCTTTCAAGCCCAAGGGAATTGTGAGTCATACCTCAGTCCGATGCGGGCGAGGGACATTCACTGACGAAGTTTTCTCAAGATCCTTTCCGGTGGCCCCTACAGTGTATACGAGGACGGTATGCGACACAATGCGACAGCATGACTAAGTTAACCTAACGACCTTTAGGTGCCCCCCACGCTGACCCTGCGGTCTTCGAACTCGGTGTTCCTGTTCTTGGAATCTGCTACGGTCTTCAGGAAATTGCCTACCGACTTGGAAAGGACAACGTTGTTGCCGGTACTGCTCGCGAATACGGCCATGCCGACCTGAACGCCAAGAGACTCGACAGCCAGGGACACGTCGACAAGCTGTTCGCTGGTCTGGAGGAGCACGTCAAGGTATGGATGAGTCACGGTGACAAGCTCGTCAAGTTGCCAGAGGGTTTCCACACCATCGCTACTACCGCCAATTCGGAGTATGCCGGTATCGCACACGAGACCAAGCCTGTTTATGGTAATTCCCCAATCGGCGCGCACCCCTCAACAATATATTGATGAAGTCACAGGCATTCAGTTCCACCCCGAAGTTACAGTATGATCCATTCGCTCATTAGTCGCCGAAGTGAACGCATTTCTGACAAAGAACAGCACACCCCTGATGGAGCTAAGCTCCTCCGCAACTTCGCCGTCAACATCTGTGGTGCCAACCCCAACTGGACCATGTCCAAGTTCGTCGACCAGGAAATCCTTCGCATTCGGAAGCTGGTCGGTGAGACAGATCACGTTCTTGGTGCCGTTAGCGGTGGTGTCGACTCCACCGTTGCCGCCAAGCTCATGAAGGAGGCTATCGGTGACCGTTTCCACGCCGTCCTTGTCAACAACGGATGCATGCGTTTGAACGAGTGCGAGACTGTTGCTGAAACACTGAACAAGCATCTTGGTATCAACCTGACTGTCGTTGATGCCTGCAAGCGCTTCTTGGATGGCCTCAAGGGAGTCACTGACCCAGAGAAGAAGCGCATGTTCATCGGTGGTACCTTCATTGACGTCTTTGAGGAGGAGGCGGAGAAGATTGAGGCCTTGGCCGAGCACTCTGGTGCCAAGGTCAAGTGGTTCCTCCAGGGTACTCTCTACCCCGATGTGATTGAGAGTATCTCATTCAAGGGTCCTTCTGCGACCATCAAGGTTTGACGCTCTCCCTCGTTTAGGAAGTCTATTGCTCATACGTTTTTCTAGACGCACCACAACGTCGGTGCACTGCCTAGTAAGGGCCACTAGCATGTTCAATTGCCTGACGTCATTTACTGACTTGTTACAGAGCGTATGATTGAGGGACAAGGAATGAAGCTCATTGAGCCGCTCCGCGAACTCTTCAAGGACGAGGTTCGCCAGCTTGGAAGAGAGCTCGGCATTGCCCACGAGCTTGTTATGAGAGTGAGTTGTCCACCATTCGTATGTACTTCGCAAAATTGCTGACGGTGTCAAAGCACCCTTTCCCTGGCCCTGGTATTGCCATTCGGTAGGTCCCTCGGTTCTTTCGATGATCTACAAAGGTTCGCTAGATCTAACGAAACGGCAGCGTCCTGGGTGAAGTTACGCCCGAGCGTGTCGACATCGCCAGAAAGGCCGATCACATCTTCATCTCCATGATCCGGGAAGCCGGTCTGTATGACAAGATCTCTCAGGCTTACGCTGCCCTGGATCCCAGCAAGGCCGTCGGTGTCATGGTGCGTATAGTTGCATTCCTTGAATTGGGATTCATTCTGACCCATTTTGCAGGGTGACAAGCGCGTCTACGCCGAAATCATCATTCTGCGCGCTGTTGAGACCACTGACTGTAAGTTGACATTTGGAATCGATGAAGATTTTGTACTAAGGTATATCAGTCATGACTGCTCGGGCCTTCCCCTTCGAGAATGAGTTCTTGAGCAAATGCGCTACCCGCATCATCAACGAGGTCCACGGTGGTAAGTTCCATTCTTCTTGATAGTTCTTCAAACGCAAGCTGATATGCTACAGTCTCTCGTGTTCTCTACGACATTTCCAGCAAGCCTCCTGCCACCATTGAAATGGAGTAAATGTTTTATGATATATAGAGCGATACAATCGGAATGGAGTTAGATGGGTTATAAAATTACAAGGCTTTTCAAACACAATGAATATCTCGACCACGAGAGAATGAAACGTGATTACAGCGATTAAGCTTTTTTCCCTTGACTTTAGCCGATTTCCGGAAGGGTTGAGTATTGCTTACTCCTCATGACAAGATCGAAGCTGGAGCTCCCCAGTCTCCAATACGTCAAATCAAACGCAGCTCGGCCTCCTTTTTGGAGGGATGCTCCACTTTATTCCATTTTCTTTTTCTTTTCTCATCATTATATCTGCTCGCTGTGCATCATCCAGTTATAACACCCAATACGGAGTAAAGCCACCCAGCTAACCAAAAGACCCGAGTCCTCGCGAGAACGCCCAAATCCGAGTTCGATTGTGCCACCATATGCCAAAGTTCACCCACAGAACTGATAACCACCGCTCGAACCCCTGTCCAGACCCTGATACGCGGTGATCGGTGATCGAAACGAAGCCTGCGTTCCAAACCCTACGAGCCCCTGGCCATGAAACTGCTGTAGAGGATGCTCGTCGGATAGCGAGTACTGCATCTGATGCATTGCCATGACGGGGACGGCGGACGGAAGCGGGATACTCGGCTGGATCGGGGCGTAGCTCATGGGGAGGTTGTGCTGCAGGTAGAACGTGTAGTCCGCGCCGGGGAAGAAATCCCCGCTCGTCGACAGTGGCAGTGTACTCTGGTACGGAGATTCCGTAAAAGATGCGTCTTCAGGATGCGTTTGCGTCAGCTCCCTGATCGCAGGATGATGGCGGTGTTGATGGTTCGCTAGTGTCTCTCTGCGGGAGAAGCTGTCCATGCGACCCCGGGTATCATTTAGTCTTCATCCTTCCGTTCTTCCTTGATATGACGGGAGGATGCTTTCTACCTCTTGTGACACGTTCTCTCGGGACACTTGTACAGTTTCGTGCCTGTATGGGTTCGCCGGTGGCGGGCTAGACTCGATGACTGCGAATGTTAGGACGTGGGCATGATATCTTGGAATAGAACATACGTCTGAGAAGGCCTTCTCGCAACCGGCGAAGTTACAGACGTGGGGACGTTCGCCCGTGTGCGTGCGGAAGTGGACGGTCAGCGCGCTGCGCTGGACGAAGCTCTTGTTGCAGCCCTTGACGGTGCAGTGGTACGGTCGCTCGTTGGTATGGATGCGATGATGTCGGCAGAGGTCGGACTTGCGATTGAAGGACTATAAGGCTTACTGCTGTGAGTTTTGATGTTGTTTATCTTGTGTGGTTGGAGAGATGATGATATTGACCTTGCCACAGTGCGGCCAGGGGCACTTGAACTTCCTTAAGCTAGTCCGGAGCATCATCGGTATCATTTCCATGGTACTAAACTGAGTGGTCGGAAACAAATTCCTGAAGATCAGGGAAGAATCAACGTTTAATAATGATCAGAGCAGGGGAAGTCGACAGCTGTCAGTCGGACGCCCTTTGGTACTTTTGCATCTCGACGGGATCATCGACGGAGGGATCTGATAGAACAGCCACTAACTAGAGCATGCATGGTCACGACAAGGTATTTTGCAGTGTGCAAGGCAAGGCAGCTAAGGCTACGGGAATACAGGGGTATTCTCAATGATTCCCCAGAAGTGTGAGGTATCTTATCTCAGGAATGCCCCGCTGAAGCCACACCGGTATGGTGGCGACTAAAACATGGGCCAATGGAAGCATGTGCAATTTGCAGAGAAAAGCATGCTTCCTTATTCCTTAGGCAGCAGATGCGCGATTGGAGTGTAAAAGCTTTTTAGAAGACAGGCGCTCGGGCTCGAGCAAAGTGTTGAGCATCCTGGGTATGTTGGACCCTGTATATTTAATGACACATAACGGACTATGTCTATATTCTATCTTTTCGTCCCTGATGATCTATGCGGCGGACAAATTTGGAGATGGATATTCTCTAGTGAACGAGAATATTCCAGAGTCGGGAATATATGCAGGCAAAGAAAGTTGGCCTCATCAGCCAAAGTGCGAGGAGGGAACACCTTCTCTCCTCTATCACAGATCTCCTTTTGGTATCTCTTCCACAGCCAAAGATCTGCCTTCAGTTTGGATATCTAGGTCTGCTGTCAATTTTCTACTCCGTCTTTGACAGTTCCGGGTAACGGTCCCACCAATGAAACTACGGAGGCTCATACCAGTGGAAAGTCAATCCTTTTAGGAAAGAGTACAGTCAACAAGAAGTCCTATATTGACTTTGTTTTGGATCAGTCCATCAAGCCGCACGGCGATCTATCAAGCAAGGAAGTCAAATCGGCCCAGCGGGTGCGACCAGCGCGATTATGTCGAATCCTGCGCTGCCTCAAGTGGGACTAACTTTTGAAGAATTGGCAAATGGGCCGAGAGACAACAATCAATCTCGAACCGTTGGTCGAGTCTACACATGCTAGTTCATGCAGCATGACGCATCTGGACTTCTGGAGATATCGAGCGAGTCTAGAGCCCAGCTCACGCACACTAGTCCATAATGAGGTGGAACTCATGATTCATGGCGATTGTAGGCGGATGTCGATCTCTGATTCTAGCGCTTGGGGCCTGAGGATTTTCCTCTCGCGCCTTCTCCTCGACATGGTAGTGGATGTGACCAATGTGATAATCTTAGGCTCTCAAGGTACCTTATGGCGCATCCCTCATGGAATGGGGGGTTTCCCGGTAATCATGCCATTAGGGGTGTCTCAATTCGGCCGTTTTTCTCTTGGCAGTAAGTTGCTAAGGCTCTTCTGAATAGGAAGTTGTACTCCGTACCTTTGTCATTCACGTAATTGGTGGGCTTGAGATATATCACTTTTCACTATCAGGGGAGTATTGACGAGGACAGCATCCATGACTCAGGTACCACATTCTTTACTATGAATAGGAATTTCAAGTCATTCTAAGAATGAATGGATGTCGCCATTGCATTTGCAGCCCTATCGACTTGCGGGAAAGGAATCCGGGACTACATAATAACCGCAAAAGTACATGCTGTGGAGAATGAGATGCATACAGCATAACAAACCCTAGATTGGCAACACAATAGATGATCATCGATTGCCTCCTACCAAAATAGTAAAGAGGCTCATTAGCTGAGATCCACAAATAGTCCACCAATGGAACTATCTCTTCTCTATGACGACCTATGTTGGAGAGTAGGAGAGTCTTGGCCCGTGGATGTACTCTGTAGCCTATCTATCTATGGATAGTATCTATATTTCGAAAATGACAACCTTCCAGATGCCTAAATCCCGAGTCGGTGCAGATCCCGACCCCGATCCCATGTTAGCCAGATATCAATGGCAACATTACGCGTACAGAAGCAGGTCATTCAAAAAGGCTTTAGTATCTCCTAGTTCAGGCATTGAAGAAAGCTCTGATCAACTCACCCAAAGCGTCATAATCATATATCGAGGACGCTAGTTGAGGCTGGTGAGTGTTATGGATCTACGATTGCCCCATCATGAACCCCATTATTGTCAACCAGCCACATTTGTCCATGAACGCACGCTGCACGGAGTAGGCCAGAATGAAACATTCAGCATATTGGACTGTCGATCACTCCTTGCATATTTGGAATTGTATCAATAGTGTGGCTGAGCGGCATGGTGTGGCTGAATCTCTCAAGCCTCGATTGTGGCTGCAAGCCTGCAAGCCAGCGTCATGGACACGTTTTAGCAGCTGGAAGGAAAAGGAAACTGATGATCTTATTGATGCGGTCTTAGGAAATACTGGAAAGGACACGAACTATAACATTCATGCAGCATGCTAATCCTTACTAGGCAATCTAGGCGAAGCCATCCACCACTTCCAACTTATCAAGCATAGTCTCGGCTGAAAATCGGATTGCATGTTGATCGATAGTATCCCTGAACTTGCGGATGACGCGTTCGATAGCCGACATGCAAATCCAACGATAGCGTTCTCGGACAAAGGGAACTTGATGTGGCGTGAGCTTTCAGCCCCATGCAAGATTAGGTTGTGATCTACCGGTGTGTGGCTGTAGATCGATCTCACAAACTGTTCCTTGCTTTTGTCAATTCCGTGTAGTTCCTGGATAGTGACGGTGGAGAACGATGCTAGGAATATGTCTGAGACAATGCTGGAACTGGTCAATTCCCGGTGTAGGCTCGTGAAGGCTACGAGCCGAGGTAAATCATGAACCCACGTTTGAGTGTTCAAAAGTTTTGTTGGTGCTGGCCCTGACAGACAAGAAAGGAGCCACCTTCGATGCTTGAATTGCTGCTATCTAAGAAAAAGACAGGAGGAAGAAGCAAAGCGCATTCACCTACTAAGTGAGCCTCAATGAGGTCTTATCAGAGCTAGCTCCTACTACCGAGACAGCCCCCAGGTTCGATTGATACCATTGGGCTCAATTGTCAGAATATTAAATGACAGGTCTGTGAAGGATGGATGTCGAAGTGAAGCTTTATTATCCTAAAACGGTATGACACTTGCTGACTCGCATGATTCACGTAGTTGCCCTTGCTCTAACAATCTCAGTGGATCCGTGATTCGCCCTCACACCCTCATAACATAACAATGCTAATCAACGAGAACAGGAGCCTGTCCCCACTCATAGATCACTTGACCACTCCTTACATGTTATGATATGCTTTTGGTCACTCACCCGCAGGCCTTGCCCTCGAACCTCGACGTCTTCGTCTGCGTTCCCTGGCTGCCTCCTGCATCACTCTTTGGTGCGCCTCAAGCGCAGCGCAGGTCTCCTCGGCCGGTGTATCCAGCGCTATATTGGCTTGTTGCAATTCCGGAACAGTCACATACGCCCTTGGAGTGAGGGGAGGCGCCGGCCGCTGGAAATTCCTTGGTATCTCGATTTTCGGACACGGCGTGGGTAACGGCGCCTCCGCTAATCCGGGGGAAACCCTCCACACGACCGTGACGACATGATAGTCCAATTGACCCGGTCGAACCTCATCCCTCAGCCATCGCTGTCCATTTAGAATAGAACTCCCTGTCCACCTCGACACCGACATATCAGCTTTATCAGCCGTCAGGAACTTCCCATCCTTCCGCCGGAAGAACCACTTCTCGGCCGCCTCGTTGGCAATGTACTCAATCTCGCCCTTGCGACGCTCGATACTCTCAAAGTCCATGCTGAAGCGCGTGACACTTTCCGGAAAGCAGATCTGATCCACCCACCGCGCATCAATGTAAAGAGGAAAGTTATTCTCCCACCACCAGAAATCCGTGTACCGGATCGTCAGCGTGATGCTCTTGGGGTAGAAATGCGTCATGTCAAACAACCCCTTCATCTGGTGGCCCTCCTCGAGCGCCCAAAGCTGCGCGAAGATTCTGATCCTACCGGCCTCGATCTTGCCGTGCGTCTGGTGGATTAGGTCTAGGCATTTCTGGAATGCCGTTGGGGAGAGTTGTCCCGGCGCTCGGTCTTGCGATGTTAGGTAGAAGGAGTGCTCTGCGTATGCGAACGGCATGAACCAGGCTTCCTGGTAGACCCGTTTACAGGTACGGAGGAGCTCTGTGTAAGTGCGGTGAGGGGCATCATAGCCCGGCCGTGTCCAATACGTGTCTTTGCTGTATGGGCGGTTAGTGTCCTCGAAGGCGGCGAAAGCGAAGGCGAAGATTTCCCGGCGGATTTCCGGGGGTAATATCGAGAATAGTAAGCTTTGGTTTTGATCCAGGTATGACGCGAAATTGGGAGGATGGATATCTGGTTCAGCCATTGCGATGATGGTAGGGTGTGATATGGACAAGAATTCCAAGGATTTGACAGCGCTTTTAAGCTTTTGGGATAATGTGGGGAAAGCCTAAAGGCCATCGCAGCCTGATGGGAGCCTGCGGTTGCCTAATCTCACCAAGCAACATCAACTCTGGAGAAGACATTCATTATATTGTTAATCGCGTCAAGTACAATGTTAACGGCTCTCCCAACAGTGCGCATCAATGGCAATCAAGCGATTAAACAACTGATCTCTCGCTTTCATCCCCGTCAAATGATAAGCCTGCTCACTTTCGCTCCCTGAAATAACCAACCCATCCGCAGCCTCTTTACTCCCCGCCGTCAACTCAACAATCAGCTTCCCCTTCCAACCCAGCCCTTCCGTCTTCTTGAGCTCTGTAATATCACTGACACGGATCTGAAACAAAACAGATCCCTTCTTCTGGCTTTCCAACCTCAAATCATCGATCGACGCAGATTGCGTCGTCGTGAAATACAGCACGGGCGGTTCCTGAGTCGAGTCAATCACAGCCGTCCCGCGCTTTCGCTGGAACTTTGCTTCGAATTTGAGGGGACCCGTAGGCGCCGCGAACCAATCCTTCTTTGCCAGGAGTTCGAGGAGGGTTCGCGTGTGTGCCGAGTTGGCGATGCGCATGGCGCGGTCGAATGCACCGTGGCTTTTGATTGCGGTTGCGATTGTGCGGCGGACGAATCGGAGGACTTTGAAGAACCCTTTTCTTGGCTCGATCTGCTGGTCGGTGTGTAAGTTTGCCGAGTCGGTGGCTTCTTGGTTGGTCAAAATTCCGTTGGAGGCGATGACGTTGCGTGGTTTGCGGCGGATGAGCCATGAGGATTCCTTGTCTTCGGCGTCTGGTGGTGCAGGGAGAGGAGAGGAGTGGATTTCTCCGAGGCGTAGCAGGGTTAGTGTCAATTGCGCGTTGGTTGGGACTCCTTTGAGGAGTGTTCTATGCTTTATTAGCAGGGAGCGATTTCTAAGAACACTGGACATACTTTCGCAGGTCGAGGTATTCCCTCCAGTTGGGGATCGTGCGATTGAGGTAATCTACGCTGTAATCAATGACGGGGTCTCCAAAGAAGCCCAGACCGAGTGCAAAGGAAGTAGCCTTGATCATGAAATTGCTCGACACGACAAGCGATAGCAGACAAACAGAGGCCATGATTCCCACCAGACGTAGACGAGGGGTGTATGTGGCGAATGGAGGCGTGGGTGAAAGGAGACTGTGCACATTCTATCAGTGCTACCCTATGCTACTCATGAGGAGAACGTACTTGCAGAACTTCTCATACGTATCCGTAAGGTCGCTCATCATCCGCATCATCTGGTCTGTAGCATTGGCTACCTTCCTCTTTATCGGCTGCTGCGTCGCCTCTGCAACGCTCTCACCCAGCGTCTCTGTCGCATCGGCAACATCTTCGAGACTCTCCGGTTCGGCGACCTTCACAGCATCTTCAGGCACAGCCTGTCCGTATTTACCTGTAGCACTTTTCATGGCAATGGTCGCGACTCTATTGACAAGATTGTGCGCCTCCTGCTCATCAGCTTCTCCTTTGTGCCTTTCCGAGGTCTCAGTGGCGCTGTCCTGTTTTCTGGGCTCTCCAGTTGCCAAATCCTCTAAGTCGGAAGACGGGAACAGCGCCTGACGGAGTGGCGCACACAAAATCAAGGCAATCAAAAGTCCTGATATGGTAAAAATGACGACGTCAAACAGCCAGGCAATAAAATAACCCTGCAAGCATCAGATTCAATTACATCCTGGACAAATTTGCGTCATCGCTTACTGCACACAAAATCCCCGTCCGTCGCGGCTCTTTCCACGACCGTAGCCGGGCGATATGGCCGCAGAAACACACGATCCCAATCACCACCGACGTATAGAAACGCTCGATTGTGATCCGGAGCTTCTCCGGAGGAAACTGCTCATCCTGCGCCCTGTTCAGATCGAGATCTTCCGAGGCGGTGTTGGCTGCTGTTTTGACATGATATATTTGCTTTCGGGGTCAACACATCGCGATCGCACAGACTGTCAATGACTTACTTTGTTGAACCGTCGGATGAGCATCCACAGGTCTTCATCTGACAGTCCCAGCGTTAGAGTTCCTGCGGTAGCTTGAGAGGCTGGTTTCGTGCGATTTCTACCAGCATCGAGCCTCTGGACTGGTCCCGTTGGTCCTGGATCTGAAGGTGGGGTAGCGGCATCTCTATCTCTGTCGCTAACTCCATCTTTGAAATCGCCTGGCATATTTATCTGGGACATGCTGTGATGAGGTCGTTCAAAGCAGGGATGTGTAACTCTCAACGTTCAGATAAGGATCGAGGACCAGCCTTGACCCAGACGATCATCCACGGGTCGCACAACGGGCCTTGCGTGTGGGGGCGTCCACACGTCATCGGCCTGAAAATCCGGGGATTCGTCACTTGGAAAGGGTGTTGAAGTTTATTAATTTCAGACTGATCTGCCCATTAGAATATAAGAGTGCTACCTGAAATAGATGCTATCTCTTTTCTATCTAAAACTCCAACTCTGTCCTGCATTGTCCACCCGTCTATTTATAAACCGGGCCGAGATGTCGATCTCCCAAAGCAAGGGAATGTTGCACCACACTAATGACTATGGCTTCAATAATTGTCTAATATCATAGAGACTTCTAAAATCGCTACTTTGCAGGATAATCATTTTTAATCCTCTCTTCTTCGCGATATGGTCGAGTTTTCAAGTGGTTTCCTAACACAGCCACATCAGTACAAGCACATCTCTGTGCATTACATTGACCGACATATGATTAAATGCTATATACCTCGCTTATTACAATATTTCCCCTCCATTTCCTGCTTTCAAATATCTCACTCAGAGATAAACATAGCAGAAGGGCCCACCAGTCGTATCCAACAGCTGCCGGATAGTCTTTGGTGGAGCCAGCGCACTGCTCATATCGACGATATCATTGAGGGTAGCGTTGGGCGGGTTCTCCACCAGACCAGCAAGAACAGTCGGTCCCTGCACCACGTAAGTCCGCTTCGCGGGGTCCTGATTCTGCCACGTCCAGAAGGCACGGTCGATGGCGGCGTGGTGGAGGAAGAAAGCAGGGTCACCCGGGGAAGCGAAGAAGTCCTATTGCATACACTAGTTAGCTTGTCGTGTTCGACCGGAATGGAGGAAAGCCGAATACATACACCACCAGGATCACCGCCAATGGTATAGTGGCCACCGCTGTGGACACCCAGAAAGCCCTTGGGGAAATCGCCCTGCATGGTAGTCTCATAGTCCCAGATGTTGGTCTCGTTGACGATCAGATCGACCACCTGCTCGGTTGTCGTCCATTGCGCTGCTTCCTTGGAGATATCACGACGGAGACAGCGGGGGTTGTAGTTCAGTCCGGAGCCGTTCTGAGCGACGATTCCGGGGACCTTGAGACTGGGAAAGACGGGGCCGAGGTTGACGGTCCAGCTGGAAATCCCGATTGTTAGCTTGTAGTCCTGTGTCACTGGGTATTCCGATGCCTTACTTCGTGAATGGGCCGGAGAAGACACAGCCACCTCCATTTCCTGGAGTCAGAACGATACCGGGAGCAGCCTCGGTACCATTGTGCGGGACGTATGAGCCGTCTCCGGACATACTGTAGGCAGAGCCGTCGAAGATCGGAGAGCTGAGCGGGTCATCAGCGTATTTGTTCCAGGCCCAGTATGGCTGGTAGCCGGTGTAACCGCATTCATTGCGCAGGGCTTGCTCGTAGGCCCAGGTAAAGTAACGGTGCCATGTCAGAAAGTTGCCCTAGACGTCTGAAATTAGTCTCCGGCATTTTATCTGGACGTTTCGAAACCTACAGTGCCGTGGATAAACCATGTCTGGTTGATGTGGACAGCGACAAAGTCATCGTAGCGATTCCGCGCGCCAGGAGCAAATGCGGGATCCAGCTGAGCTAATTTCGAGGGCTTGGAAGCGAGGCAGAGCACAGCATCAATGTACTCTTTGCGTTCGAATCTCGATAGAGACCCCCTATCAATCCAGCGTCAGTGAGTCGAGTCCAAATACTGCAACAGGTGGATACCTACCATTCTCTGCGCACCGTAGCGGTAAGCGGAGTGCATGTCTTGCTGGCGTCCGGGTTGGAGTAGTGATAGAGGACCTGGTTGACGAGAGCCTTTCCAGCGAGGACATCCCACTGGTCAATGTCAAAAGCTGCAGTGGGCGTTACTGCAGCCAAAGCCGCAATTGCTGAGAGGATTATGAACCGCATACCGAAGCTCCTCTGATTGACAAGGACAGGTCAAAAAAGGTTGAAGCGGATGATCAAGAAAGAAGAAAAAGAGGAAAACTTTCGCTTGATTCCAGGCTCCTATTTAAACGTATCGCTGGGAGAAAACCATGCTGGCCAGCGTGCATTAGTTGGCACCGAAGCATACGAATGTCAGCTTGGACGCAGCCTAAGGGGAAATTAGCACTGTTGAATGGGTCCAAGACTAGAGACATAGATCTAGAAGCTATTGGCAAGCAGACATATTTAGCGTACGATAAGTGCACGTGGGAAGCTGAATTGCTACGTACTGCATACTCCGTACGAGATATGCATAGAAGCCTTGTTCTTCGATCTTGATTATCCGTCTATTGCATTGAACCTGCAACCATGAGAATGCCAGATGCTTACGGCAGTTACAGCAGTCAAGGTAGATAGTTCAATTTTTGAGATTGAAGAGGATGGACTCCCCTGTCTTTTTAGGGTTGCGGCCGACTTGCCACTGTTAGCAATTGAATGTAACGACAATCAAGTAGAGGCAAGACAATCCACAATTTACGGGGGTACATCTTCCGCTTTCCGACTTCTTAGTTCCTACTAGGTATTTCGGGCTCTTTGATCGCACTGACTCGTTCCTCTTTCCTCTATTGTTCTCGAGCATAGACCCGCCCAATGACGGGGAAAGAGAGTTCAACGATGGGACTATCTCAGAATGGCAACACATTTCCAGAACAAGTCCTTATCCCGGAGAGAGAGCTTGGGCTTGAATTCCAAATGCTTTCCAATGCCTCCGGAGTCCGGACCTTCAAGTTACGACTTGCCAAGGTGAGGCACGGCACACTAGCCTCGAGGACGACTCTAGTAGCGGCGTGTGGCACCTTTCCATACAGACCATTTGCCCCGGACGTACTCCGTATAGCATTCGCCTAATGGACCAACGAACCCTGATTGACAGGGTTCTCTATTGGCACTAAGCCTAGAATGATGAACGTAGTGGTAGATTTTCCCGTGCCCTCTATCAACCCTTGACGGTTGCTATTCTCCTTCGAGGCAAATCACCCGCTGCTAGTGGAGAATACTCCGTAATATCTCCGGCTCTATTTAGCCGACATCTCATCGACAAGGTTTGTGAAACCTGACCTATAATGATCATCGACGATGAATGGATCGAAACTGGCATCGGGGCCAACGGCTCTGGCTCGGTGGACTACTCCAGTTGAGTTTATGTCAAGCGAGGGCTGCCAGCTCAGCATTGGTATTGCAGTCTGGAATAAAATCGACCTTTCCGCATAAGAACAAATCGTGACTATGCTTCTATCTCAAACTTGACTACTGCGACTAGTCCGGCTACAGACTACGGAGTACAATGCTGCTATTATTATTATTACGTGTCCGAGCCAGCTTGGTGCACGCCGCGGAAATTACTCAATTATCGTGTCCGGTGTAGGCTGGTCTGCCTTTCATTTTACCGGAGAAGAGCTAATTTTCTCCGTAAGAGAAGTGATAAAAAAGTCTTTTGCCTTTGTCAATCCGCTTTTATGAGGCTACCCAGCCGTTCCTCGCTACATGGTATGAGCTATGGAACAAATCCTGTGTCCAAATGACGGGATTCAAGAATCATATTCATGGGCTCCAAAGGAGAGTGTAATTTTTCCGCGTCCAGTAGTCGTCTCTCTGGAAAAAGCAACAGGCCAGATTTTTCCTGCCGGCTCGAAGAAGGCTAGAAGCACAGCTGGCGACATGATATCCTACGTATATTGGCCATAACACTAGTCGGATTCATGCCAAGAAGCAGTATAATAACCTGACTTTGGCTTCCTGGATAATCCCTGTCCAGGTTGCCTCCTTGGTAGAATTTCCAGGGGAAAGAGAAGAAGAAGGACCGAGAGCCTCTGCTATCTCAGCTATCCTGAAAGCACCGCTTCGTCTGCAGAGTAGGCTGACTACTTCTGAGTCTTAATTATTGAAATATATCCTTATGTCCGACAGTTTACAGTGCCTGTGTGGCAATACGGGGCGAGACATGTAGTTTATGAAATCTGGCCCTCGAATCCCTCGTATTCAAACGCTTGGGTTGTTGTGTTGGTCTTTACATGGGTTCAAAACTTAAATCCTGATTCATCTTTTGCGCATTGGCAGCTAAGCCCATAGTGCCAAGGGTAAGCGATGTTGCTGGCGATTGTACCTGCATATTGACTAGACCAACGAAATCCCATTTCCTCCATAAGAGGGGAGTATCCCAGACTCTAGAAAGCCTTCTGTGCTGGAGAGGTCAAAAACTCAAAACGCATCGTACTGTCTTGCACCCGTTCCCCACGCGGTTGTCGTCCTAACGTGGATATATGTCGTTCTCGTCTTCTGTTGCGATGAACGGATCCCGACAAAGATCGACACGACCAAAGAACTGAAAGGCAGCCCGATCTTTATCGGTGCAGTGGAGATGAAAGGTCCAATTCAGCAGCCTTTCGAAGCCCTGGTTCCTCGGCAATCGACGTCCACATACGAAGTCCTCATCCACACAAGAGGCCCTACCAATGCGCCTCGAATTCTCGCCATTGTGGGCGTTTTGACTGGTTTATCGGCCTTGTTGGTTGTGCTGCGCTACTACGCGCGATTGTTCATTCTGCGAAGATTTGACATTGAGGATGGGATCATCCTTATAGCCCAGGTAGATTGCGCTCATAAGACCCAGTGTCGTAACCTGTCATTGGCGGTCAGTACTAACCATATCCATCGCTGATAGGCATGCGCGTTTGGTGTCCTTGCATGTTTCATTGGAGAGTCACACCGTGGACTGGGCCATTACACCAGTGATATTGGCTTGGAAGATCTTATGCCACTGTCCAAGTGGATGTTTTTCCATGCCATTGTCATCGTGCTTGGGATAAGCTCAGTCAAGATGTCGCTTGCTTTCTTTCTGCTGCGATTCGCCTCGCAGAACAAGTTTCTCAGGAAGTTCATCATCGGGGCGCTGGGTATGTTCGAAATGATGTCATAAAAATACTTAAACGGACTGCTGACAGTCCAAAGTCTTTCTCATAGTTTTCACCATTGCCTGTGTTCTAACCCTGGTATTCCAATGCTATCCCGTCAGCGCAGCGTGGGATTATAGCCTAAGGGCTACAGCAAAGTGTTATTCGAATAAGACCTACCTCGCCATTGGTGAATTCAACAGTGGTAGGTTCTTCTTCTTTTTAGGGAAAAAAGAAAGTAATTGACAGTCGCCTCCACAAACAGCCATCAATATCGTCACTGACTTTGTTTTTGCGACTCTGCCGGTCTTCATGTTTTATAATATCCAGGTCAACAAGCGCACTCGAGCCTCTCTAATGGGCATTCTTAGTCTTGGGTACTTGTGAGTCGTTTCCATTCCAAAAGTTATAGAATAGAGAACTCATAGAATGTCAGTGCATGCGCCGCAGCTATCGCCAAGACAGTTTACCAAAGTCGAGTGTTCGAGGAGAAGAACGCATGGCGGTAGGTTGACCATCCAGTTTCAGTGCCTTGTAGAGCTAACTCGCGTTTCGCGGCTCAGTGATTCTGAATTCCTCATATGGAACTGGTATGTTTACCACTTTTCTGCGACATTGATCAGCGAATTGACAGGTTCTGTAGTGTTGAGCTCAACGTTGGCATCGTAGCCGCCTGTTTCCCCACGATCAAACCACTCGTCAAGTCCATCATCGGAACCACTTGGAGTTTGGCCAGCGGCTCCCGCTCGCGGAAGCGAACAAACAACGCTTATTACGCACAGTCCTCGAGCCATGCAATGGGCTCCATGAGACGCAGCCGGTTAGAGCATGAAGCGCAGAAGCACAATGTGCATATCGATGCGCTTCGAACATCCTTGTCAGCGTCTGAGGGGGGTAGTGAGGAGAATCTAGCGTCTCATCCGCGTCTTCAGCGTCTGTCATCCTCGAGAATACTGCGCACGACAGAAGTAACTGTGCACACGGAGGGGGGAAGCGATGCTGTGGGGACGGGCATAGGGCCTAAACAGTCAGTGGACGATCGAATATAGCCACGATGTATGTCGGATCTCTGAGGCATGGCTTTGTCTCCCAAACTATAGTTCAAGAGAATATGCTGCCCTTCTTTCACGAGTCATATTGCTGATGGGCCCATGCCACGTCCTCTATTTTGGGCGCTGAAACTGATCGTAGCCTTCCATTGAGAGCTCTTCCAGGCTCGTAGTGGCGTTGATTCAAGTCGCAAGGAAGTATCACTATGAAAATAATCTCTTCAGTTCTATCTCGTACAGCTTGATGTTACAGCCTAAGTACCGAAGGCGAGAGAAAGGACCACGTGACCTTACCGATGCGCTCCTGGCGCTCTTCCTCGGTTTCTTCCAGCTTCCACTGCTCCAACCACAAGTAACCCTACGCCTTCCGCTCGTCCCTACAGTTGTTTCTTGAACACTCCTGACTACTCAATCCAGACTTGAATAAAAAATAGTCTCGCCTCCGGGATGTAAATCCGAGTCTCCATGGAATGTCTGGCGAATCACAAAGGGTGATTCTCACCTTTCCAAAACCCGCGCGGGTGGCCGTTCTGTGGCGTTGGTAAGCGAGCCAATAGTAGCGCGCGCTAAAATAGCACGTGCCTTCGGCCCCCTTCGCAACAACTTCGATCTCTCGATCGATCCTCAAATCGCTTCACATCGAAACTTCATGCGAGCACCTTACGCCACTCTGTCGCGGATCAAGCTCTTTACACGGCACGCACTGGGACCGATGGGGACAATCCATGCCGAGTTGGCTCATCCCATCTGAGGTCCCCATACTTGACGCTCTAGAGCTCAGGCCTGGCCGCAGCACTGGCGCCATGCGCGACGCACAAAGGTTGCCGGTGATTGCCCCCGCCTCGGTTGGTACGCCGCGAGCCGTGAAAGTGTCGGCTTTCCAACGTCGTCATCACATCGCTGTGACTGCTTGCTCGGAATGTCGCGCCAAGAAACGTAAAGTAGGTTTCGGAGTGATGTACCCACCCACCCTGCGGTGTTGACTTTTCTTTCCGCCATCAGTGTAGCGGCAAAAGTCCGTGCGTGGCATGCGTGTCGCTAGGCATAGAATGCCTGCTTGACGCGGAGAGCAGTCACCGCCGCTTAGTCGGGGCGAAGCGACGAGTCGCTGAGATGGAGAGTAAGAACTCGACTTTGAAGAAAAGGGTACATTCGCTGGAGAGTGAGATTCAGTCGTTAAGATGCCATTTGCCCGTTTCGTCAAGGACGCATGCCTGGGCCTCGTCAGATCCGGTCGAAAAGGCCGGCACTGATTTAGTCTCTATGCCCAAGGATAGCTCTTCCGGCCGGTCGACAGAGGACTGGAACAGCCTCTGGGCTATATATGAGAGAGTCCGCGACTGTGCCCCTGCAGACCTCTTCAAGGTAGTCAATGCCATCCGCAGTAGCTCAGATCCGATACTAGCGGCGCAGTATTTGCAACTAATCTCCCTTGGTCAACTCGCTGATGCTCACGTCGGCTTATCGAATTTAGCAACGGAGTATAAGTTGATGAGCTCACCGAGGCTTCCGGCCTTGTGCGAAGAGCCGATCTTTTCCGCTCCTGCGAAGCCATGGACGACCATCACAGACAGTGACCGGCTAGTGTCACATCTGCTCTCTCTATATTTTACCTGGGATTATCCCTGCTATACCTGGTTTGATCAACAGTTGTTCTTGGCTGATATGATAGCTGGTCAGTCGAGGTTTTGTTCACCACTCCTTGTAAATGCTGTATTAGCTCATGCTTGTGTAAGATGAACCTTTCAGTCCCTCAACCTTTAATTTCCTGACGGACTTCGCAGCTATACTCCTATAGTCTCCGAAGACCGTGGGATCGTTTTAAGGAGATGGATATGTGTATCCGCTTCCTGTCGGAAGCCCAGCAGCTCTGGATATCCCATCCACAGCCTACCTTGACCACAGTTCAGGCACTGATTGTCATGAATCTGACCTACAACTGCCTGGGTAAGGACAAAATCGGCTGGTCTTGCTTGGCGGCAGCGATCTACATGGCAAACCAGTTAAAACTGTATGAGCCGTTGTCTGTCGTCGACAGCGCAGGGTGCTTTGAATCTGTTTGGAATAGAGCACATGCGGTCACAGCGTGGGGGCTTTTTGAGTGGCAAGCGTAATTATCAGTCTCTGTTGAAGTTCGTTTGCACCATATCTGATCTCGCCACAGACTCGCCGCAAGCGTGGTGGATGATGCTCCGCGTTTGGAGCATCCGCCTTTCTATGAAGTACCATATTCAGACGCCGAGTTTCTCGATCATAATCGACGCTGGCACCCCTATCCTTTTAGCAGTCCCCTTTATCCGTCGGGCATCTTTTCGACGGCCAGGGCCAGGATGGAGCTGAGTGTAGTTATCAACGACGTGACCAAATTCATTTTGGATTCCCATCATGTCGCTTCTACTGTCGAGACCTTTATGTTAATCCACAAAAGACTCACAAACTGGTTTGTCAAACTAAAACCAGCGCTTCATCCCTCAAAACACGCGCCACCACACGTCTTCATCATGCAGTAAGTGCCAATCGCATTAACACACACACCAATCCTTGTTGCTTACAACCATCAGTCTCCACTTCCACCTCAGCGTGGTCGGCCTCTGCAAGCCCATTCTTGCCTCGGGAGGAGAATCCAGCCCCTCCGTTCTAAGCATTTCCGGCAACGCCAAGCTCGCTACTCGCGAGATCATATTTCTCTTCAAGCAGACCTTCGGCTGGAAATCCGCCTCCAACTTCCTCAACCACGCCCTCTGCTACGGCGCCTTCAACGCCATGCCCTTCGCCAAGGACGGTGATCCCCGTTGGCGCCAGTCCCTAGAGACATGCATCAGCGGCCTCTGGTACATTTCCTTTTCATTCCCCGTCTGCAGGTACCTGCTCCGCGCGATCCAGCACGCGCTCGTCGCGGCGGGGTTCGCAGATACAGACCTTTGTCCGGAAGTTACCCAGATCCTACGATATTTTGCGCGCAATGTGTGGAAAAGGTCTCTGCTTGAGACCTTGCAGAGCCAGTATTCTATTACCTATGATACGCAAACAAGTTTACGGAGTGTTGAAGATTTGCTTCAGTCGGTTGAGAACTTGTCTTTGAACCATTAAATGATGGCTGATGATTACGTGATCAATGTCAGTATAGATAGCATGGTCTGGCTGGTAGGACCTCGGGTGCTTTATGTATTCTATTTTCTATGGTCCTGGACGGGAATACCGTTAGTTATACGATGATTCAATAGGATGATAAATGAGTCCTTGAGGGAATTATTTTGTCTTGCGATCTGTATTCTATTTGGACGTCCTGTGTTTGTGTTTGCCATACGGACACGTGACTCTATCCGTCTGCGGGGATGTCGACTCGTCAGCCACTAGCCAGGCGCCCAGGCATCAACAATCCTTGAAGAGCTGGGCTTATTCCAAATACTCTTGATACCACTTGAAAAGGATATAAGAACACAGGGATGTATGAGAGAGCTCATAACACGTAGCTGCAGCAAAAGCACCCAGTATAAGGCCAAGCATGGGGTCCACCATAGAGCTGGGCGATGTCCCTCCAATCTACAAGATCGACTTCTCTCTCCCCCCAGCAGAGCGATACGTTCAAGTCGCCAAGAAGCATCGCAACGAGCTCATATCGCTCACCACCCTATTTGATGGCTTGGTTGAGAGCATCGCACCCGATATATCGCTGCAGTGGGTCAAGCGCGTTGCGCGCTTGTTCTTCCGTCGGTTGTATTCCGGGGAGGAAACAGAGGAGATCCGCGGTATCAGCCAGGCCACCGGGATCGAGATGTATCTGATTGTCTCGCTGAATGTTCTCCTTGACGTATTGATGGGTTGCACGAGTGGCGCGGCGCGGTCACGGGGCAAAGACACGACGCCTCGCATGCTTCATTTTCGCACGCTGGACTGGGGGATGGATGCGTTGCGGCGGGTGCTTGTGCAGTTTGAGTATGTCCGCGGTCCGGATTATGATACAGTACTGGCGACGAATATCACCTACGTTGGGTTTGTGGGCGTGTTGACCGGTGTCAGGGAGGGGCTGAGCGTTTCGTTGAATTTTCGACCGAATCACGATTCGAGCGGGTGGTTGGGTGATTTGCGCTTCTATGGCAGCCATATTCTAGTTATGCTTGGCTTGAGGAGATCCGTTTCGTCAATGCTGAGGCAGTATATCATTCCGGGGGACACCCCACGGGAGACTTGGCTTGGTCGCACTCTGGCCGCATTGGTCAAGGAGAGACGTCAGACTGTTGAAAAACCTACACTGCGCAGTATCTGTCAGGAGATGATGCGCACCCCATCCACAGCAGCGTATCTGGTTCTGTGTGACGGCGCAGAAGCCACTGTGATTGAAAAGGATCATCGGACTGCAGTGATGGACTCCAGTCCATCCTTCATCGTTGCAACAAATAGCGATATTCTCGGTCCTGAGCTTCTTTCGAACGACAAAGCCACCGATGTACCCTTTGGCGCAGCGCTGGGCTCTGGAGAGGCCATCACACTGGCCGAGTTCATCCAAGATAGTAAGGAGCGAAGAGCATGCATGCAAGCGCACTGGGACAAAAAGGTGGTGCAGGCTGGAAGGTCGGCTCACGGTCGGAAGCGGACCAGCCCAGCTGCACGTCATGATCCTTTGCGTCGCACACGCTCCTCTAGAAGTCGAGCAGCACATTGCCCAGTCGGTTCGGGAGCTATCTCTGTGGGTAAAGAGAACGCAGAGGCATCTGAGATCTATGAGGTCACCGCAACGCCTAAGGAAATAATACAATGGACGGCAACATATCCAACAACGAACGAGATGACACATTTCGCAGCAGTCATGGATCCAACAAGTGGAAAGGTCATCTGGATTCAGAGGTTCCGCGATCCTCTCATTTTTGAGGAGATGTGATAGTCTCCCATAGCCATTGTCAGAGCACCCTAAATTTGATAACACGAGCGAGAATGCGAGCAACGCGTGATCGTGCTCCAATAATCAGCCGAAGGCCATTTTCCATTACCCGAATTCACGTAGCAAGGGCTCGATGGGGCTATTCAGAGCTTTGATCGGCCATTCCAACCACTCAGCCCAATCCAGGCCCAGGAAATCACGAATAGACTCGATCAGAAATTGGCCACCATCACCGAACATCCACGAATCACGGCAGGAATGAAGTAAAATGGCATAATGAGCTAGGATCACAAGCGCCTCTGGTCGCCGCTGCATCAGTAGGTCAATGTATTCCTGGGAAACAAGTACAGGCCATCCGGTGGTGCCATGAATATTTCCGGCAAGAGATCCAGCAGCCATCAACGCATTCGTCGAGGACTGTAGGTACTCTATGGCTTGCTTGTAGATATTTGTCAAGGTAGCTCCGAGCTTCGCCGCTCGAACCAGGTTAAGAAGCTTATCGCATCCCGCTCCCAGTCGACCGTCGAACCGATAAAGGGACTGACCATCCACTAGCATCGGCTTGAGGACCGATTGGTGTAGCATATCCCAGGCTTTTCCGCAGATTGCTCTGACACCCCGGTAGAGTCGAAAACAATGCACGAACTTGTCGACAACCTGCTCGAAATCGTTCTCCCTGTATACGAGTACATCGCAGAGCGTGTGAAGCCCAAGAATAGCCGAGAAGAAGAACAGGGGAACACACGTCTCTTGATTCACCTCCAACTCTGTTTCATTGAAAATTGCCAGCGCATGTGTCTGGAGCTGAGCAGCATGATTCCGGTAGTACTCCCGTCGCTCCGGATGCTTGGTGCTGAGGTGTAACGCACTGAAGGCGAGCAGCTCATTCACCATGTAGGGTGATTGTAAGAGGTGCGGCATAATACTAAAGAACTGGTCTGCACTCTTCCTGCTGTCAAACACCAGAAATGTGTCGGTAGATAAATGGTAGAAAAGCTCCATGTGAAGCATATTCACAGGCGGATCTTGAAGAGTTCCTGGATTCGGACTGAGACTGGAGCGGCCCGATGGCAAGTTGGTCGCTGGTGAGAGAGACGTAGAAGCCGCCGAGTGAATTGGTGAGTCTACAGGCCGTATGACCTTGAACACGTTGATTCCATACTCGCACACCCGCTCCGAGACGGTGCAATTGGAACATATTGGACGGTTCTCGTTGCACTGTAGGAAGGATTAGTCATGCGCCAGATCGCGACACGTCGGAAATCGGGACAAAATACTTTAATATGGCGGCGCTTGCACTCCAGACAACCGTTCCGGGACTTTTTATGAGCTCTGCGCGGCATCGTGAATGACAAGCCAAGTTGTGTGCTTCAAGCCTACCAAGACTAACGAGACGACGAAATATCATTCGAGGGACGGCCGTTGTCTTCGGCTCGGGCCTGCAGGAAGGCAGACAAGCCCTCCAAATACGCGGAACCAAAGGGCCGATACTCAAGGGTCAGGAAGAGACGATTCGCAGTACAACTGCAATTTAAGCCAAAAAGTGCGCCGTCCCTGGCCCAAAAAACTCAAAAAGTTCAACGACTGGGACGAAACAACACTGCCTCCGAATGGGCCACGAATCGGAAGAACTCGAATCCGCGTATGCACAGACCACCGGAGGTTTATCCGCCAAGATGATCCACCGTTCAGTTCTATACGCGTATAGCTTCGGCCTAGCAAATAAATGTCCGCAGCAACACGACTTCTCTACCGCAGAAGAGTTTTATTCTTAGTTCTATTGTTGCAAAAGAGGCTGCCTATTTGACTTGAATTGTATCTACTGTGCTCAACTCATATAAGGATTCATATCCACCTCCGCCATGTCTTTCTACTCATCACCCCAGCTCATACTGAGACGCAGTGCCGAAACTATTCTCAGCAACGGAGTGTTCCTGCAATGGCAAAGTTAGAGCCATACGTGGGCGATTACTACCTTTGGAAATATGTGCCATCGATTCCAGCAGCTGTCATCTTTCTCCTGCTCTTCGTATGCACGACTGCTTTCCATTTCTGGAAAATATGGAAGACGCGAGCGCGGTTCTGCATCCCCTTTGCCATTGGAGGATTGTGTAAGTGCTGTATACCTATTCGCTGTGCGCGTACAGGATTGGCTCTAATGACCGCCCGATATCTCAGTTGAAATTATCGGCTATATAGGTCGAATCGACTCGCACGGGAAGACCGGAAAGCTTGGACCCTATATCATTCAGAGTGTCTTTATTCTTCTTGGACCGGTCCTCTTCGCGGCTTCGGTATACATGGTCCTCGGACGCCTCATCCGCAGCATTCAAGCAGAAAAGCACTCAGTTATTCGCGTCAACTGGCTCACAAAGATATTTGTCGCGAGTGACGTCCTCTCCTTCCTCGTCCAGGGCTCCGGGGCGGGTCTCATGGCAAATGGGTCGAGTGCAGACATGGGAAACAACATCGTCATCGCGGGACTCGTGATTCAGGTGCTCATGTTTGGACTGTTCATGATCACGTCGTTTGTATTTGAGCGGCGTATGAACCATGCTCCGAGTGGCCATGTATTTGATGCAGAAGTGCCGTGGAAGACTCACTTGCACGTTCTAGATGCCGTCAGTGCTTTGATATTGATTCGATCGGTGTTCAGGGTAATCGAGTACGCCGGGGGTCAGGACGGGTATCTGCTCGGTCACGAGTGGACCATGTACATCTTCGACTCGGTGCCGATGGTCGCTGCTATGGCGTTGTGGGGAGTGTGGCATCCAGGCGTCATCCAGCATTCCACCCGGCGCACACACACGCAGGCGCTGGACATGAGTATGGGGTAATCTAATAGTGTTGATTGAGGGGATGTCTCTAGAGGAACTGCGACTCATGAATAGTTTATCAGATCAGTGCGAATGTTTGTCAGTTATTGATCATAGAAGGAAATAGATGGGTCAGTTGGAGAAATGTCAACCAAGTTCACTGATAACGATTAGTTCTTTGGTGAGCAATTTTGCGTGACAATGATGCTGTATCAAACACCCTAGGGCTGCAGACATTGGTCATCTCGATTTGGAGGAGCCGACATTGCCGCTGCCACTGCAGGCTCGCGGATTACAAATCAAGTGGAATCACGTTTGGTGCATCAAGCTCTTATCGTCCATAGACCTCATCGCCAGGTAGGTAGTTCTCGCAGTCTCAGCTTAAGCAATGTCCTAGACTCCTACCTAGACTCCTAGTAGAACCGAGTGGGTCAAAGAAAGAATGCGACTATTTTAGTATTGTGGGGGAGGAGTGATGGCAGAGTGGAGTAGATATCTAGTCGGCCCAGAAACGCAACTTTTTATCCTTGAATCCAGACCAAAGGCATTAGAATGAAAACGGAAAGCAAAATAATGTTGAAATGAATCTGAAAGAGAGAGCAATCATGCAAGGTTTCAGAATCGCCACCAGGGTGGGGGGCAAGTGGATCTGACTGGTTAGAGTTGTGCGGGGGTTAGTCGGCCAGGGATCCGGGGGACTGTGCAAAGGGGTGTGATTGGCTTATTCTCGGGCGGGGTTGACACTTCGCCTGTCAAGGTTGCATCCAGCCATCCAATAGCCGTGGTCCACACTATTATCAGCACATTCTTGAAACGACTGGGCTCAGAGAAGTACATACAAAGTCACTAAGCCAGGGAGATCCGGTGAGAAGCTATGGTGGATCTGGGGATGTGACCCGCCTCGACCGTGATGTTCCTGGAGATAGACAGCTGTCATGGACTAAATACCGAGAGGTAGGTGATAGTGATAGAACAGTATCAAATATACCATCTGAGAGCCCACGTTGCATGATTTATAATTATTGTATGGGAGAAGGAAGAATACTTTGGCTTGTACTTCTTTGAACTGCGTGTGGTGTGATGATTATGTGGCTTGATGTAAGTTCCACCTCCTTGCCCAAAACTACTAGTGCTCCCCCCCTTCTTCTACTGCATTGTACTTTCACCAGTTGACAACCACGTAATTTACGAGGGCACCTAGATTCAGCAACAGCCCAGAAATATTTAACCCCTTCATGACGGGTAAATAATATTCGTTATGTAGATAATAGAAAATCGACAAATCACATACATGAAACTCCATCCCTGCCAGTGTTTGGCTGCAATAATCAGACCATCCAAGCCGTGGTGCCCAAACAAAGGAAAGTGATCATAAGAAGTAGAAGCGAGACACTGTCTAGCTGCAGATCGTATATAATGTCGAATGTAATAATCCCATCTCTCCAGGAGTACGAATCATCATGAAGTAACCGCTCAATCATCTAAGTCGGCTCATGTAACGGAGTGTGAGGTAGACTGCGCCCATAGTTGTGTACATGGCGCCCCCGGCTGTCACCCAGACCGGCTTATGCAGCGCAAAGGAGGTCTGCACAAGTCCTGCTCTAGTCCTGGTCTCTGCAAAGTTCACCCTTTAGTCGTCTGGTCATAGGACGACAGTTTTACTTCTTGTTGAAAAGGAAAATTCGAGTACATACCTTTCTGGAAGAGTCTGCTTCGTAGAGTCCCAAGCTGTTGTCTGGAATAAGCAGAGACGGAGGAGGAGAGTGAGGAAAGGTTCTGGAGGATCGGAGTTGCTGACATTTTGTGATAATAGGTTGGATGGTGGGATCAATTTGCAGGTGTGTACTGGTAGAAGAATGTCACGGACTCAGAAGACACGGGATTCCTTGTTCTTGAGAAGGTGTATGAGAATCCTCCAGACTATATATACTCTTTCCTCGCCATCCTGATGCGGGGTAGTCACACGACAGGGGCTACTAGGTAGTACAAGAGTCGACGTACACGATTCTGGCTGGTAGCTTTTGACTCGTAGGCATCGGCCATGGTTATCAGGATATCCCTGTCCTCTTACGACGGCTACGCCTCCCTTGTGATGGCAATGATTGGGCATTGTTCTTGATCGCTGGTGGCAATCCGGGGTAGGACAAGAGGTGTGTGATGCAGAGGCGCCCATCTGTAAACCTAATATATGTGTGAGACAGTAACATGCCAATAGGATATAACGGTTACTCATCGTCCAAGGGCCCAGTATCATATTGCCACAGATTAAGCACTGCCCTGGCCAGAGTCTCCCAATGCAATCAATTAAACACTGGTGTTGAGAAGAGTTATGGTTAACTCATTGAGTGGTGATCTTCAGCGTGTAGATACACTATAATAGAACATATGAGTGTACCTATCTTCGGCTTACCAAAATAAGAGAAGATGTCGCAGCCGTGGCGTAGGGCCATGATCATTCCTTTTGTCAATAATAAAGTGGCTAAATCACCGCTGCTACCTTGGGTCAACAGCACAGTTGAGTCAAATTGTGAATCCCGCTGCAGGTATTGTTCGAGTGAGCTTTCATAGTGGAAATAATGAACATTCTTCCTGTCTGTCGATTACTCCTTGATCGTCGTCCTGGGAGGAATCCTGCAAGAGCACCAGCATCAATGATTGCTCATTAGTTTCGGAAATGCAGCGACAGCTCAACCCAGAAGATTGGCGTAAATGTATCATCATGGTAAGAGCATCTCCACCTTCCTTTCCACACAAAAGGCCGCTCAGAGTCAATACGGGCTCTTCTGGAAATGTCGTCATTGCCGGAGTGGCATGGAATGCACATTCTAGTCAAGAATCTAGCAGATTTTCACTCAGGTATCATGCTACACCCCCATGGGCCCTTCAGACCGGTCTGCTTCGCTGTCCTTGACAGTTAAGATCTGTTCCGGAAGACAGTAATTCTATGAATCAGGATTAAAGAATGATTCTCGAGTCCTATCCTTCATCTTAGCAGTACTAGTGAAACCATTGTTGGGATACTCAACTATGTAATGGTCTATCAAATACCGGATTGTAGGCCGTGGTGATCGAGACACCTTTTGCGGTCAGATGACAGCAGAATTCTTCGTCAGGTCTGGTGTAATGACGATGCAGTTCTCCCAAGAGCATTCAAGCTACAGCAAGACTCGGCATACAGGCGTACTCTATATGATCTTGACTGCATTCACCCTCCACTCAACGATCGATCAGGCTGATTGATGTTTTTATCTCCGGTGATACCATCGCTCAATGAAATGTAGTTGGAATGACAAGCTCATATTGCACGGATCCAAATCAGATGGGAAAGGGGGCATCGTCATGCTTCACTTCGAGTATCTGGTGGCAGTTTGAAAATGACAACTTATCGAGGTGAGTAAGTTTCGACCCTCATATAAACTAGCACAAGACTGTTCGGAACACTGGAACCGTGGGGGTAGTTTAAAGTCATGTCTACAAAAACGGCGCTGATGATGCGGTTGATATATGGACGATCGTCGATATGAGTATATATAGGGCTCAAAGATATATCTCCATCCGGAAGAGCTCAGCACTTTTGCAACATTAAGTTAGACCAGATGTGGACAGAAAGTAAGTCTGGGGAAATCTTCCGAAGTTTGAAGAATTGAGCCCACATATATCCAAGTGCCTGATAGATTCATCGATCTTTGTTTTTTTGTAGCAACCGTAAGAGAACTTTGAAGAGTGTGAAGGATATTGATGTAGTCACGTGATAATACCCTCTTGGCAGACATCTTACTCCGGCAACGCGACCGTGTTTCCTTATCCACGTCAGAGAATGACGACACCGTCAACACGAAGAGAGCATCCCAGAATCACAGGCGCTCCGGACTATGATGAGGCCGCATACTGGGACGTTAAATTCGCGACTGGAAAAGATGTCGGAGAATGGCTGAACTCGGGTGAAATCCTGATCGAGACTACCCTGTCCGAATTGGAGCGTCGTCCTCAACCCCATGCCATCCCGCGTGCTTTGCATATTGGTCCAGGCATCTCCAAGCTGGGCATTAGATTATGTGAGGCCTTTCATAAGCGGAAATGGCCGGGAAGTTGCATTGTGGTGCGTCCTCTGCCTTGGTAAACTTTTGGAGAATTGCACTAATATTCCACCGTCTCCGATTAGAATGTGGATTTCTCAGCAGAAGCTGTCCGCCTCGGCCAGGAACTTGAGAGTCGCAAGAACGCAGACCAGGCAATGCATTGGCTTCAAATTGACCTGAGATCGTGGAGCGACGTTGCTAAGTTGGCACGCTATGCGCCGTTTGATGTTCTCGTCGATAAAAGCACGAGCGATGCCATTGCGACGTCGCCATCTGTGAGCCTCTTAACTGAATCCGATACATCATCAATCTGCCCGACCATAAGCGAGGTCTTGAACGAGACTGGAGAACTCACGGTATCTCCAGTGGAGCTGTTGGCTTTGCACCTTGTCCCGCTGACGCAGAAGGGCAGTACCTGGGTTGCGCTTTCATATTCAAACATTCGCTTTGACAATCTCGGTTATGCTGGGAAATATTGGACCATCGTGTCACACACCTCTATAAAAGCACCACAAGGCCAGACGTTCTCTTTTGCACACAGCCCTGAAGTCTTTCATTGGGCTTATGTCCTCCGGCGGAACTAAGCTTATAAACTCGCTTGTGCTGACTGTGTCTACCGATAGACCGGTCTGACCAGTCAGTGCACGCAACGAGCATTTGCTACGGCTACGCAGAAAACCAGCACAGACAGCAGTCTCAGTAGGCCTTAATCAATTCTACGCGCGAAGTGATTTACTCCAGCGTTTCAGCATCAACAGTTTCAGGGCATCACACAGCCCCAAAAGGCGTCAAAATTCATCCGAGCGTTAAAGTAAGTTTCTGCCTACACTACTGTCCGGCTAAGCGATTGGCCAATTCTTCGATCTCGTCTGGTCCCAGAAGACCCAACTTTTCTCGTCTTGTCGGCGCTTTAGGGTCAAAGAACGGCTTCTCTGCCAGAGCGGTCACCCTAGTGCCATGCCGCGGCTCCTTTCCCTCGTAATCCCAGCTGGCGTTGTGGATGGTGATCCTTGTACAATCAGTCATCAAAGGCCATACATGGCAGGAAGCTTATTCGTAACTTACCTGTTATCCCACAAAGCGCTTGTCCTTGGTGTCCACTTGAACCGAACTTGGATATCAATGTTTTTTTCATATACATCGCACAGATATCCGAGGATGACGTCGCTTTCTGCTTTGTCTAGGCCTACGATACGATATGTCATGGCTCGGTTTACCCAAAGAGTCTTCCAACCCGTTGCAGGGTGAACTCGGACAAGAGGGTGCTCTCGCTCGACATAAATGGGGCCCTTTTCCGGATGCTTGCGGTCCAAATAAGGATGGGCCGAGCGATAAATGGCTGTCTTGCCGTCGATGAATTGACGGAACGATGGTGATAACTTCTCGTAAGCTGCGTAACCGCTCGCCCATAGTGTGTCCCCTCCAGTGCTGGGCACCGTATCGTTGTGCAGATGGGTGACACCCGCTGGCTGTCGCTCATGCACAAGATCTGTATGCCAGCGGGAAGCACCTCCGGGCCGGCGGAATGAAGCCGGAGTTTCCGCTGCCTGCAGGGCCGGCCACAATACAGTGACACCGGGTACTCCTGGAACATGTGGTACTTGCGGCTAAACAAGGATTAGTACAGTCCCCTGGCTACTTGCTAAAGATGATGCAACGACGTACATGGACCTCGATCTCACCGAACCATTCGCCCAGCTCCTTCTGCTGCTGTGGGGAGATATCTTGGTCTCGGAAGAAGACAACGCTCCTTTCCGCAATCAGGAGGCCCAGCTCGTCTTTTTGTTTGTCGTTGAGATCCTTGAGTTGCAGTCCCACGATCTCGGTTCCGATGTGCTTGGTGAGGTGAATGACCTCCTTCGCTGCTGACAGCAGAGCCTTCTTCTCGGGATCGGCGCGGGATCCCACGTCAACGTGCGGGCGATCATAGTTTCGGATGCTGTAGACATCATCTATGTAGAGAGGCCGTGCAGGCCGGTACGGATATCCGGCTGACAGATCAATGCCAGCCTTTTCGAGTCTTTGCCGAGCGTTGGGAGGGAGAGGAAGAGTCTCCTTTCTTGGCTCTGCGACGTCGACAATACGGGGGTCAATTGCGGTAGGAGCCATGACGCCGGTCTTTGTTGAGCGTAACAAGTCTCGAGATCGGACGAATACTGGTGCAAGACAGTGCCGATTCCTGCTTAATTATACACACTGAATCCATCCCTGCTTGAGTTGATTAGCAAGTGCGTTTTCGGGCAATCCTTGTATATGCGATCACATCATCATCACCACCCATTACGCCTTTCACACCATGTATCATCCGCGATATTTAACACGCTCGTGGCTTTGTCTTCCCCTCACTTCGTCTTATCATCCTGCCCTATCTTCCCGAGCCCCTCAAATCGCATCAGTCTCGACCGTCATGCGGACAAGATCCGAATATCCTCATTCAGGGATACGATTGCGTTGAGAAAAGTGGATTTCAAAGCAACTCAACTTCCTGCCCATCGGATAGGAGATAGGCTTGACTTGCACGGCAATCTACTTCCGAATTCCCCGTTTCAGCGGAGTCTGCGCAATCGTTATTCGCATCACCAATGGTGCAATCGAGAATAAATCACCTGCCATTGCTTAGAGGCGCACACATAAGGGGTTTCTGTCGAGGACTCGCCGATGAAGCAACATTGAAGCACAGTCTATACAATGACTCGCCGTCAAATTCATCACGTGGCCGTGATTGGAGCAGGAATCAGCGGCGTTGTCTCGGCCGGGCATCTGCTCGCTGCTGGAATTGAGGTTACAGTGTTTGAGAGGAATCATGCCGCAGGGGGAGTCTGGTATGTATCATCGTGAGCTTGCCGTCCTGCCATTTTGACAGGAGACTACAGGTTGTACGACGAGCGCAAGCCCCTTGAGCCTGTCTACCCGTCCGTCCAACCTTCCCGGGCTGAACAATATGCGGATGCCGCATCAGATGTTAGGGATAAGAGTGTCCGGGAACACGCGCCTCCTGGGTAGGTTCGACCCGTATTTATCAGAGAATATTAGTTGATCTTGGGTAGTCCATGCTACGAAGGGCTCAGGAACAATGTCTCCACACCCTTGATGCGCACAAAGCTTAACGCCTGGCCAAGAGGCACACCCGACTTTGTAAGTCACGTTGTCATGAAGGAATACATTCAAGATACGTCAAAGAAGGCCGGCGTTGACGGTGCTACTATCTATGGTGCAAGGGTGAAAAAGCTGCGCAAGGAGCAGGACCGATGGGAGGTCACTTGGTCCACGCTTCGTGAAGATGAGAGAAGTGAAGTCGTGCAAGAGGAGGAGCAAAGCGAAGTAAGAGCTATCATGTCAGAGCTGCATTGTAGACTGGGCTGACTGTTGCAGGCATTTGACGCAGTCGTCGTCGCCTCTGGCCACTACCACGCTCCACGTATTCCCGAGTTTCCTGGCTTACCGGAGGCGAAGGCACTATGGCCGTCTCGAATCCTTCATTCAAAGGGATACAGAAGGCCCGACGAGTTTGAAAGCAAGGTGAGCCTGTCAGGCTACGTGGTTACGTGAAAATTCCCAAAGATGCTGAGATTTTACAGAACATCCTCCTTATCGGCGGTGGGGTATCCTCGGCAGATATTGCTCGCGAGATAGGCCCAGTTGCCAATAGCGTATATCAAAGCACCCGCAACGGTGAATTTGACCTGGCTGCTTCAGTCCTTCCTGAGAACGGAGTAAGAATCAGCGAGATTGCCAGATTTGAGTTGCAAAGCGACAAGGCATTACTGGACGATGAGCATTTGCCATTGATTGTCCACCTCAAATCTGGTGAGAAGCTATGCGGTATTCACGGCATAATTATCTGCACTGGCTACCACATTACTCTGCCCTTTCTTCAGGAATACCACGACGATGACACATCTCCCGTGGATGCAAATGAAACAGTCCTTGTGACGGACGGTACACAGGTGCATAACCTTCACAAGGACATCTTCTACATTCCCGACCCGACATTGGTGTTCGTAGGCGTTCCGTACTACACCGCAACATTCACGTTGTTTGAGTTCCAAGCCATCGCTGTCGCAGCCGTCTTCTCTGGCATTGCTCAGCTGCCTCCCGCCGAAGAGATGAGGGCGGAATATCTTGGTCGCATCAAGGCGAAGGGGAGCGGGCGGGGATTCCACTCGCTCAAGGATGTGGAGGAGCACTACGTAACCGATATCTTGGAGTGGGTGAATAAGGCTCGGGCTTCTCGCGGACTAGCAGCCATTGAGGGACATACTAAGACATGGAAGGAGGCGAAGGAAGCACAGAGGGAGCGACTAAAGCAGCTCTTTGGGAGTGGAGCGAGGAGAGATAGTGGGGTGGGCGAGTTCCCGGCGTTAGAGGTGTGTAGCTGAGTTGCAAGGAATGAGGTACAGAGCTACAGAATGGACCCTGAGGCCACATGGTATCATTATCACTTGTATTTAGACAGCCGAGGGTAGTCGCTTCCTTCCTGAGACCAGGAAGCTTTCTCTAACCATCTGCCGTAGATTATCCAGTCATGGAGGGCATATACATCAAGTTTAGTATTTATCCATCCCCAAACCTCCTGCCTACTTTCCCAGAACCCACATGCACGTAGTTCGAACCTAAGGAGCGATTTGCATTGGTGTGGTTGGCATCATCCAACAATCATATGGCGAGCTTTGACGGACTGGCCACTCGCCACTTACCACGAGTCAGTCAACAACCCTCTCGCGGCCTTCTCCTTGACATGAATACTCTCAACGTGTCTATGCCTATCGCAGCTCCAATTGCGCAAGCCCTAATGACAATGAGGAATCTACCTAGCTACAACATCCCCACCTTGGCCTACCTAGTAGAGTCGAGATAGAATCAAGCTCATCGACTGGACGTAATAAAAGGTGGGTGCTCAACGAGTGCCAAAGCTTGTTCAGCAGACAGTGACCGTTAAAAATGCGTTGATTCCTCAAAGTAAGATTGAAGAACCATTTTTCTGCTACTTGTAAGAGCCACACAAGACTGCTCTACAGCCGTCCACATACCATGGCTCCCTCACCAGCGGTCGTCGACGAAAGAGTCGTCGTCGACGTTTTGCAGAAACTCCCCAAGAGGAAATGGGTCAGTTACCTCTGGGACACATTCGACAAGTCGCCCGAAGAGCGCAAGCTGCTGTTCAAGCTGGATACGGCGATATTGACTTTCGCTTCCCTTGGTTAGTACACCAAACCGTGAATGATGTGATCAAGCTGACGGGAGGGTGCAAGGGTACTTCATCAAGTATCTCGATCAAGTCAACATCAACAATGCGTTTGTCTCTGGGATGTATGTTGGTGCTATCTCCAACCTCGATGACCATCCGTTGACCGAGCGCAGGAAAGAAGATCTCAGCCTGTATGGCAACCAGCTCAATTACATGCAGACCTGCTGGACGGTTGGCTATGTGATTGGCGAGATTCCAAGCAATTTGCTCCTGACGCGCATCCGGCCCCGATATTGGATTCCGGCTATGGAGGTATTATCTCCTCTCCTACGCATTCGTAGACTGCTCGGTACTCACGCTGGACAGCTGCTATGGACGGTTCTGACCTTCGCAATGGCACGCTGCAACACCGTGACTCAATTATATGTCCTGCGCTTTTTTGTTGGTACGTGATATCTGCCTTTGGCAGGGGCGGATGATAGTGACAGCAACAGGCCTGGCAGAGAGCACATTCTACCCCGGCATGCAGTACATCATTGGCTCGTGGTACCGCAAAGACGAGCTGGCGAAGCGATCGTGCATTTTCCATACTAGTGGTGGGATCGCGAGTATGTTTTCTGGCTACCTGATGGCAGGTGTGTATCATCTTGGTGGCAGGGGCGGGTTCAAGGGTTGGCAATGGTATGTTTGCAACTCATTCCCACGAAGCCAAGCTGATGTTTCAGGTTGTTTATCATCGACGGTGTGATCTCTCTCCCCGTCGCGCTGAGTGGATTTTTCATTCTGCCCGACGTCCCGGAGATTTCGAACCCGTGGTACTTGACCAAGGAGGTGAGTAACCGACATAAGAGCTTGAGACATGCTAACGTGTTCCAGGAAATCGCCCTTTCACAGAATCGTATGCAGCTTGAAGGACGCAAGAATAGAGGGCCGTTGACCAGGAAGAAGTTGAAGAAGATCTTTTCGTCGTGGCATATCTATCTACTGACACTGCTATATTTGTACGTCTATATCGACCGAGTCGGAATGGCGCTGACACGGCCAGGTGCTTCAACAACGGTGCTGCAGGGAGCCAGCCTGTATTCCAGCAGTGAGTGCAATTATGCCCGCTTCAATACATACATATACCGATCAAGTAAACAGATACCTCAAATCCTCGAAAGACCCCAGGTATTCCGTCGGCCAGATTAATGCCTATCCGACAACTACCGGGGCCGTTCAAGTTGTGACGACCCTAATCTACGCTTGTAGGCAGACTCCCTTCTCTCTTTTTGATAACCTCTGACTGGATAGGGATGTCTGACTCCATCCTCGGCGGCAAACGATGGCCACCGGTCATATTCGGCGCGGTAAGCTCCCACTGATGTACATAACTCCAGTCACTGACTATGCAGATAATAAACATTGTCTCGTACACCTCCCTCGCTATATGGGATATTCCCACCGGGTGGAGATGGACCTGCTACATTATTGCCGGCGCAGGGTATGGGCTCAGTGGTCTTCTGATGGCGTACGTTCCCCGGGTCTCTATGCTTATCTACCAAACTGAAGAAAGTAGATGGGCACATGAGATCTGCTCCGAGGACAACGAGGAACGGGCACTGGTGGTAGGCAGCATGAATGAGATGGCGTATGTGTTTCAGGCGTGGTTGCCGCAGGTTGTGTGGCAGCAGGTCGAGGCGCCGAGGTACCGGAAGGGGTTCATCACGGTGACGGTTCTGTCAGCTATACTTATTATATCGACTTTTGTGACGGTTAGACTGGACAAGAGGGAAAGGGCTGAAAAGTGAGTGACTCTTGTGGTGAGGAGTAATTGTGCTAATCTCTGCTGTAGAGCTGCCAAGCTATCCGAAACCACAGAGCATGAGAGTGAGGACAGTTTCCCGGAGATAGCTTCGGAGAATGGAGGTTTGGTTAAGGTGTAAACAGGCATTTTGGGCTATGCGCATGGTATTCGGAGAGAGCATTGGGGAATGGGAAAGTATAGGGTGAATGGCGCCTTATGCTACCACCTTCGCATGAAAGGCGAGAATGAGGCAAAGCTTCTACAGACGCGGGGAAATACAGGGTACAAATAGTCCATTAAGCAAGTATCGATCACAGTCAGTGAAAGATTACAGTGCCATCTGCCAGGTGACCCTTTTCCCCTTGACCATCGCCAACACCCCCACAGGCAAGAACCGCTTGTCCACCAGACTCAACCCCCCAAGCCGTCTCAGCGGCTCTTCGGCATATAGCTGCAGCAGCCATTTAAGTTCATTATCCTCTACCGGATAATCGATCTGAGACTGCACCTTCCTCAGCGCAGTCGAGACCTCTTCCGTAAGCTCGATATCAATCTCCTCCGGAACATCCATCAACTTCTTGTACAGAGCTGCCAGGTGGGTGTCGGTGAATTCCCTGAAGCGAACGTATTCGTCAAACGACATGAAGGTACTCAAGCTTCTATCTATGTCCGCGGTTGCTCGAGCCTCCGCATCTGGCTGCATCAGCTTGTACCGGCGCAAGCGCTCGCGTTCGGGCAGCTCTTCAAACTCCTTCTTGACGTCGAGGTATGCCTTTCTCTCGTTTTCCTTGTAGTCATTTATAAGCTGGATCGGGGTAGAGCGGAGCTCATCGCGGACCAAGAGCGTTGAGACGAATGGATTCCGCAGACCGAGTCCGCCCAATTGCTCCGGGAAGAAGAAGAATGCGTCCGGGATGTCGGAGACGCCGAAAAGTGCCTCGATCATGTGCCGAAGGTGCTCCATGACCGTTGATGCGCGGCCATCGGTGTTAAAGAGCGTGTTCTGCACCTTTTCGTATGTCGCAAGGATGAGATCGACGTGGTCACGTCCGAAGCAGAAGCCCGGCTGGCCGAAATTGCTGGTGAAGAAGCGGCCGATGCAGCTGTTCCAGGTGCGGATCCAGGAGATGACGCTATCACAGCAGTCAAGCTGTTTCTTCAATTGCTGAACATGCGCATCCACTTGTGTCTGATCGATCACCCAGTTACCAGAGTCGGGATCGAGCACGAGCAATCCAATCGTGACGGGCCCTTTGGGTAGTCGAGCAGCGATGCTGGCGTCTCTGGACTCGGCGAGGTAGACGGAGCCGGTTTTAGCCAAATTGAACTCCAGCCCGGTGACTCGGGCGTATCTTTGCATGGCTTCCCATGCCTGGGCGCATTTGGCTGGAATTCCGCAGAGCCACAGGTCGTCGTGCAGTCGGTACAGCAACATGCCACATTCGCGGTTCACGGTCATATCCATGAAGAAGAGGACAAGCTCTCCCATGAGCTTCGCCATTCCGCCAGCCAGAGGCACGCCGCGTTGGCGCAGTCGAGGGCCGGTAGGGGTCCGACCATCACAGGCCCGATCCATGTTCAAGGGCGACTGAAGGTATTTAGTGAAGAAATTGATCCACTCTTCGGAAAATCCGACAAATCTCAAAATGGCAAAGAGGGTGCTGTGCGGAAGACCGGTCCCGTACCATTTCATATCGGACTGAATGACAGCTGCCTCACCGTACAGATGCTGGTGGAGGAGAGTCTCCGTCGCAACCTTGCGCAGTATCCGCTGCTTGATGTTTTTCTCGGGCGCGGCCTTGTGTGCCGGGGTTGCGCCAGCGTCTTCATCGTTGCTTCCTTCGTCATATGTAGGACCGTTCTCAAAGAGTGATGTGTCCGAGCTGGGCAAGTATGAGAGGAAGTACGTCTCCTGATATTCCGCTTCACGTTGCTTGTCCACGCTATGGACTCTGAGAGGGGAATTGAGGTAGTAACGTCGGCGTAGGAAGTCCCGTTCGGTCATCTGCGGACTTGGAGAGAATTTCCAGACTCCCTTATGTGTAACAACACCTTTAAGCAACTGCTTGAGTGCGCTGCAGAACTTGATCGCGATGAACTCGGCGAAGATGGTCTGCAGCACATCCTCGTCGACCCAGACGCGATATTTGCCGTTCGTTTGCTGACGCGGTAAGACTGGAATGCCCTTTTCGCCTGCGTGCCAGTCCCAGTTCTTCAAGTCTGCGAATCGCATGTTCAGGACATCTGCGATCTCAGTCATAGCGACTTTGTTGCTCAGGAAGTCTTTGAGCACGGCTCGCTTAGCGTCAGGCAGCAAGTCAGCAGTCAGCAGGCCATGAATGCAATTGGACAAAGAAGTGTGGTTGAAGGGCTCCTCAGCTGTCCACATTGTTTCGCATTGGTCCTTAACAAGATGCCGTAGTTTTTTCAGCGCAACCTCCTGCTCATCCCCGAGGAAGAGGTCTTCTAGGAAGGTGTGGATCTCCTGTTCGTTGGTCTCAAGTGGCTTGAAGACGACCGCTTCGAACTGGTCGCATAGTTGCTGAAGACGTTGTTTTTGTCGTTCTTCCACAACGAGAAAATCCTCATCGTCAGGATCATCCCTGGCTTTTGGGTTGCTCGTATCGTCTGAAGAAGGATTCATCCACTCGGTCAGCAAGCGCGCATAGAGATCGGCAAGACCCAATTTTCGACTGTGGGCGTCCAATTTTGCAATCAAGGTCTCTTCAAACCCCTCTATCATCTTCGAGGGGATTGATGAGTCGTATCTGGCTTGATCGAGCCATCGTTCGATATGACCGATCGTAACATCCCGAGATGCGCCGGGATAGAGCTCCTTGGCGCCAGCGAGTAAATGCTTCAATCTATCGAATTGATCGTCACACGCTGCAGACGATTTGAGGATTTCAAATTTACGCGACTGATAAGTGTTACGCAGTTTCTCCAACTCGCGGATCTTGCTGAGAGTCAGCGATTGAATAGTCTGAGAGAGGGCGCTGTTGGAGGCCATGATAAAAGTGAGCGATGAGATGAAGATGGTATTGAAGCCATTGTGATTCGAGTCCAATGGTCTTAAGTAGGTCTGAAGGCTCGTATGTGGGTCACTCTTGGTCCTTTGGGGATGTCGCACATAAGGCTACGGTGTCTACCTTGACGAGTTGATTTCCCGAGTTGGTCTTCCTCAGGCTGTCAGGCAGACTATCCAGGCACAATATCACGTGAATAAGCCTTGCAAGGCGTTTCGCTCACATGACTCACCGACATTGCACAGTTTGCACTCGTCAACATCAAAACAACAGGAAACTTCGAGGTCACAGCCTCATCACTCTCAACTCTTATTGCTCGCTCATCTCAACTAATTATCCTTCTGATAGGTTATGATGGTCCGTTGCTGACAATCGATTGATCGCTGCGTTGTCAGTGACGGCATCTTTGTCGATCACCGTGACACTCGCCACCCCCACGGTCCCGTCATCGTCGACAATGACTGATAATGGCCCTTGTTGCTAGGATCGATCCATCAAACATATACAGTCTCCTTGCATCGAATTCGTTGTCGAAGCCGCGCCATGAATAGTGAACTTACTCGGTATACGACCCGGCGGTTGTTTGGAAAGAGCACCCCAAGGCCAACAGTCATGATGTCAGGCAGGAAAGCAAAAGATCGGAGACGATCGAGCAATGGAGGGATTTGATGAGGAAGTCTCGATGATAAGTTCACAGCTGTCAAATTGACGAAGCGCATATGTGTTTCGTCGCCCTCACAGTGGTCATAGCAATACACCACTACACATACAGGGATGATGATGGTGGCTGTTGTGCGATCATCGGTTTGACGTCACACCGGATGCAAATTGTCTATATAGATATCGCACAATCTGTTCATCATGAAAATGAAGCTTTCGTCCTTCTCTATCATCAAGTCAACGAAAAACAATCATATCCAACCGAGCCCTCCACCTCACCCAGTAAGAACAACATGCCTCTCTTCCACCGCGATTCAGTCTCCAGCTCCTCCTCGGCTCGTAGCATCGAGGAGCCCAACCAACGCAGCCACGGATTATTTGGCGGTCGTAACTCGCATTCCAGCCACTCCTCTCGCCGATCCTCGGGTAGCTACTCGAGCGGACGCACCCACCGTCGCAGTCTGCTCGGCCGACACCAGGAAGACCCATCCATCGCGGCAGCCAAGGAGCAGGTTCTCCGAGCTGAGTCCGCAGAGAAAGCGGCCGATCGGGCCCTGCGGGAATCCCGGATGGCGGTGCGCGAAGCCAGGGACCATGTGAAACGACTGGAGAGCGAGGCGGCTGAAGAGTAAGTTGCTTGCTGGGTATGTATTCAGGAGGCGAGCACTGATTGGCTTTGACAGGGCGCGACGGGCGAAGCATAAGCAGCATGAGGCTAGGTCCATCTCGAAGAGAGCTAAGCCTCTTGGACGTAAGTCTTGACTCTTGACCTTGTTCATGCCATTGCCACTAACGAGGACAGGCCATGTCTGATCAAACATCAGTGGTCTACTGACGGGAGAATCTAGCGGTCATTTGATCTTTGTCCAAGCAATGTACTATACCATATTCGTTTCAGAATCTAGCAATAATGTATAACGACTCATGATTCATCCCGCCTACTCCAGTTGCTCAAAAGTCAAAACACCATGGTAGATCAAGCGTTAAAATACTTGAGATAATCAAGTTTCCCAATCGGCACCCCCTTGCTTCTCAAGATCGCATACGCAATGTTCAAGTGGAAAAAGAAATTCGGCAGCCCAAACCGATTCACGTACGACTCCCCGGTAAAGGTCGCCTCATACGTGCCAAACTTCACATGGATCTCGGCATGATCCCTGCCCTCGAAGAGCTTAGGATCAACCGCTTTGATCACCTCGATAGTCCTGTCGATGCGAGCGTAGAATTCCTCAAAGGTAGTCTCGTTGTCTTCCATAGGCACGCCTTCGGTGCCGGCGAGTCGGGAGACGGAGTTCTTGGCAGTGTTGCTGACGGATTGGACTTGGAAGCTCAAAGGCTTCATGTCTGGGTAGAGACGGGCCTCGACGAAGTCGGAGAGGGGGATGTTCTTTTCCTTGGCGTAGTCTTCGGCCTTTTTAAGGAGGAGGGTGAGGGTTTCCAGGCCCTTGAGGTAGGTGGGGACGGTGTAGGTATAGAGAGAGGCGGTCATTTTGCTTCGATCTTGAAGTGGAGGAAGTAGTGATTGAATTTCCTTGAGACTGGAGACCTTATCGTTGTTGTCTTTGTTTAAATGCAGGAAGCTTCCAGCGTTATTTATACTTATCCCGAATGCTCACCGACATCACAGCCACGCCATCAGTAGGAGATCCGCCCCGCTCAGATGCTTTCAATCCATCCGAATTACAAAGCCATAGAATTTCCGTTGACAATTCAAAACATGATTTGTAATGTCAATTTCCAGATGTAGAAATCCGTAGATGTTCTCGTATTTTGCTGACAAACGCGAGCCACACGTGACTTGTTCTGCGGTGTGGGTGAAAAGGCCACGTTGGAGCAACGATGGCCCGCGCCAAGTGGAGGGTTCCAGTCTACAGCTTCAATCTCGATGTGTACATTATGTTCTTGTCCTGTCTAAGACGTTATTATGACATCTCGAGTATCTGTTATGGCTGGGAATTCTGATATAGGGTAAATGATATCACATGACGTTGAGACCAAGTCCAATATACGTCACTATTAGTCCTACATCCTCAGGAAGAGATGACTCCCCTCTTCACAATCTTCTCTCTCCTCGATCTTCTCCACCGTGATAACCACAAAGAGTTTCTCACACAGTCAATGGATCGAATCTTCCACCATGGAGTCCAGATTCAAGGAAATGTTCTTCCACCAGACCGACCCTCAAGAGCTCGAAGAGTCCATGAAGCAGAACAAGCTCAACCACGAAACCAGCGCTGAAGAGCCCGAAAAGCCCGAAAAGCCTCTGAAGCAGATCAATCGCCAACAGCGCACTGCACTCCACGATGCAGCCGAGTTTGGATATCCCAACTTTGCCATCACGTTCATCGAACACGGAGACGATGTAAATGCTGTAGACGCGAGAGGGCGCACTCCACTCCACGCCGCTGTACAAGCAGGACAAGAGGGTATGGTGCGTCTCCTCATCAAGAGGGGTGTAAATGTGAACATCCAAGACAAGGAAGGACTCACCCCTCTGCATGTTGCTGTCGAGATGCGCTCAGAGTCTTTGGCCCGCCTGCTTGTGGAGTCAGGGGCTAATCCACGCGCTGAGAATTGGGATGGGCACACCCCGTTGCTCTTTGCTTACTTGTTAGGGGAAAATGAGATTCTCGAGCGTCTTGTCAAGACGAATCGATCTACAGGGGAAGCAGTACGGTCGAGTGCGCTTTGTGGATACCTGGTCAACATGCGCCCTTTGGCCATGATGAAATCTGTCTTCTGTTGAGAGAATGTTGTCGTCACAGTTCATAGTGATGTGTCTTGACGATCAGAACCGGCTCCACAGAAGCCGAGCTGGTAAAAGGAGCTGCAGTCGTCTTTAGACGAAGGCGGCCCAACTAATACTCCTTAGGGGACGAAGAAGCTTTCCGACCAGTTGAAAGATGTCTTCACTTTGCAGACACCGTATAGAGCTTGCTTTTGAGAACTGAGTTTAGTTGCTTGTTAACTTGATTTCATATTGACGACACATCATGCCTTGACCTTGTCTGTTATCTTTGTGAAGATTTGGCCCGGTTGCCTGTCTGTGAATGATGCTTATGGAATGGACCCTTGCTCGATCGCTTAAGAGAAGTTGACGAATCTGTTTTATGATACCCTATGAAAGAGCTGATTGATTTGACCTGTGTCAGCACTATGTTTTATTGTCTCGACTCTCAGAATGGCTACTAGCAATGCCCCTGATTTTACAAATTTGAAGACAAATTGCAACCTTCATGGATGAATCCCGTGGTTCGAATGTTGCCTTGGAAAATTAAGCAGTCCCCCTCAAAAGATAATCGAGGTATTTTTTTTCAATCGTGCCCCTATAAACTTAGTTGCCATCCGGTACGGCTTCCATGATCACTAAATCGTTCTGGATGAAGCCGGGATGGTCATGCAGGAGATTCTCTATCGGAAAGACCAGCTGCTGCTTCATCTGCTCGTACTTTTCCTCGCCAGTGAACCAGACATTTTGGAACATCTCGGCGAGTTTGTTGCTCCGATCGGATGAACTATCCTCGTTAAAGGAATACGAAGTGCTGAGAGGGTGGAGGGAAGTCCTTCCGAATCCCATCTCGGCCAGTATCTTGCTGGCGGAATGGAGGAGCAATCCTTGATGCGCAGGTCCTGCGTTCTTCCCGCTCAATGGAGTACACATTGTATTCATCAATTTGTGGACCTCATTATATGGTGCCCCTTGGATCAGAATGACCCGCGCATTCGATGAGGACTTGTTAACCACGCGGACCACTTCTAGCAAGAAACCGCGGAGATCATCAATGTAGTCGAGAATCAAGGTTGCAATGACCGCTTCAAATCGGGCATCTGGGTATAGCAAATTAATCAAAGCGCTAGGCAAAGTCTCCACCAACTTGTTCCTTGCTGATTCCTGACCAAGGAAGTCTGTGATGGTCTGAAGTCAGCATATATCGAGAAAAGAATGCATGCATAGCTCACCTTTCAGTGCACCACCAATATCCAATACCCTTTGATGGACCTCCAGCACAGAGGACAGCTTTGTCCTCTCATCATTCGTCACGCGTAGATGCCCCTGCAGCTGTCCCCAAGCCGACTCGTTGCGCATTGATTTCCCTCGACGGCCATCAGGCAAAGGATACGGTCCCAGCAACGGGTGTGGCTCCCATTTCCTCCCGACAATCAAATAATGAGTCTCAAGCCGCGTATGCTTGGGATCGTTAGGTATGTAGTCGAACATCCTCTCCAACTCAATGACAAAACCTGCTTCGCGCAGCACATTCAGCCAAGCCGTCTGGGAAAAGTACAGCTCGTACACCGGCCTCTCCATCCACGTCTGTTCAGTTCTCACACAATCCCAGACGGGGTCATGTACGCCATTTCTTGCCGTAAGGGCCGAGGAAGGCGCCACACCAAGTACCAGTATCCCATCCTCCTTCAACCACTCGGCGAACCGATACACCACTTTATGGACATCGCTTGGTGAGATCTGGAAGAGCGAGTAGACGGCAAAGACAGCGTCCATTTTGACTGGAGGAGTATACGTTCGCATATCGGCTTTCGAAAACGTTCCTGGAACTTGACTGCCTGCTATTTTCACCATGTTCTCAGCAACGTCAATGCCGTAGACGGCGTGACCAGCGGATGCGAGCGCTGCAGCGACCGGTTTGCCGGTTCCGCAACCCACGTCAAGGACATGGCTACCGCGTGAAAGCTTGCTCAACACATATTCAGTGACTTGGACAAGCCCGGGGCTATCAGCATAGGCGTCTTCGTGGCGCTTTCCGAGGGCGTTGAAGAGGGTTTCTGCGTCGACTTCCATGGCGGGATCACTGTTGCGCGGTTGATAATCGCGATGATCGTTGGGTATCTGGAGATTTAGTACTAGTGGTGCATTGACGTGGCACCTGCAGGGATGGCATCGGATGAGTTGTACAGGTCGGTCAAAGGTTGAATCATTTAAATTATTCACTCTCTTCGACTCAGACCCAAGAGTGGCGAGATGGAAATATTCACGTCTGGTTGGGCTCGCATAGGTCACGCTGAAGAAACAGGAAAGCTCGAATGACGGACCCCCTGCCTGTACTGCTTACATCCTTCTGGCTTACGTCTCGCTTGGCTGCGTTGTTCATACCGGCAAATAATTGATAACGGACCACGTTGATCAGAATATTCTCTACTTTCCGAAAATAGGGCTCTCTCTATGGCAAGCATAAGCAGTAGAATTCATCTAGTCCGGCGTTGTCTCGGAGTTCTGAATCGGGATATTGGAGACCTTTCAACTATCTTGAGGCCACCTGGATTCCTATGCAACTGACCTGCATGGAAAAATACTTATTAGACAATGCAGATCGATATAAGTGCGTTTTAGCGACTCGGCCTTGAGATTATCTGCATGAATCCCACGCCGCATTATACCCAAATAGGTCGCCGATGTCAACTATCCCACGCCATCGGTTCTAGCCTTAAACCCTCAATTGCCCTTATTAGCAGTGCTCAATTACTTACTCATACCTCGCTTTAACACGGACACAAAACAGTTCATCAGCCCCTGGTCATATATAACCTAAATCTTCCACGAAGCTAAATGCACAATGAAGGTCCTGATGGTCCACGGTAAGACACCAAGGAAACTTCAGCGTTATCGATCGGCCTTAACATGCTCAGGATCCAAGCAGTCCGGAGAGCTATTCCGTACAAAGTGTCAACCCCTGGAGCGACTCCTCCGAAAGGCATATCCGGGCATTGAACTCCTCTATCCGACTGCTCCGTTCAGGTTAGAGAAATCGCCGGAAAAGGTCGTCACCAGCGCCGCCACCAAGCTCCGCGCTGAATATGGTGAGTGGACGTGGTGGAATCAACCTGATTCCTTTGATGGGTTGTATACCGACCTAGAGCTGGGACTGGACGTGCTTGCATCCGTACTTGAAGCAGAAGGGCCAGTCGATGGAATGATTGGATTCAGTCAGGGTGGAGCGGCAGCTGTTATGATGGCGTCGTTGCTAGAGGGGAGGCAAGAAGCCTTAGACCAAGCTCAGACAGAGGGAGGTATGGATTTGGAGACAGTCCGGGAGAAGATTCGAGGTCATCCACCGTTGAAATTTGTCGTCAGTGTGGCTGGCTACAGAGCAGAGCACCCGGCGTATCGGGCGTTCTATGAGCCAGCAATCAAAACTCCGTCATTACATGTCCTGGGAAGTTTGGATTCAGTGGTTGAGGAGGAGACAGCAATGAAGCTGGTTCAGAGCTGTTCCGGAGTGACTGAACAGATGATTATCTGGCACTCGGGAGGTCATGTAATTCCCAGTGGGAAACGCGAGCTAGTTTCCATTGTTCGGTTTATCGGATCGCATGTTCCCTGATCAAAGGCCGCAGAGTACCCGATATAGATATATTATATGCAAACCAGCAGGAGACGATACTGGGGATGGAAATTCCGCGCAAGTTCAAGAGTACGAGGGCTACTGTTGACTCATCTCATTGACAGACGACCATACTGGACAGTGTAATGCGCATCTTCGAGTCGCTAATACGATGCACCAAGCTGGTCAGAAGACAGCTTTTACATGCTTATTTCGTCATCAATTTGCTCATTCAAATTGGGTGTCGACCACGCTCTTCACAAGTATTTCAGACAGACCTTTATGGTTAAGAACATTCATTGCAAAAGGTTGTGCTCAAGTATGGCGACTTGAACAGGCAGGCAATGCTATCAACAGGCTTTCATTGTACTTGAGCTGCCATTCAAAATCGAGTCAAGCATCCTTACCACTACCACGTGGATGAGGAGATTACGCATCAACGCTCCGGATCTACATTTTAATCAGTGGCATCCTATTCGAGAGTAGCACGGAACTAACATACAGAGGGTGTGATATTCAGAGCAAAGATAAGAGACCTCTCTTGAATCCACAAAGGACACACAGTTCTGCCATGGCCATAGCATTTATACATCGTGGCATCTGCGTTCATTCCAACACGGTACCACCCATCTTGCGTGGCGGAATACGTCTCGCAAACATGGTGTCAATCTCAATGAACGTCCGGCCCTTCAACTCCGGGATGTAGAGATAGCTGCCCAGGGTAGCAACAGCAGCCAACCCACCAAACACAAACCCCACCTTACCCTTCAAGTTGCCCTCGTCCGGATTGACCATATACGGGACAGCAAAGTTCATCGCGATTCCAAACACAGCCTGAGTCGCGGTAGCCAAGGCAGTGGTGCGCGCACGCAAAGTCGGACTCGAGGTTTCGCCTAGCAAGACGAACGCGATGGCGCCAATGGTGAGGAAGTAGACGAACGCGTAGATGACGGTGCAGGATGCCTGCACCCACTTGGCGGCGCCGGTAGGAACAACATCCATGATGCCGATCAGTAAGAGGACGAGCGTCAGGACCGCCATGCCGCCGACGAAGATCCGGCGTCGGCCCACGCGCTCCACTACAAACCAGCTGGTGATGTTACCTGCGACTCCGCAGGCCGTAACACCCACACCAAGATCGAAAGAGTGCGTCTCGTCCAGGCCCGCGAGTTGGAAGAAGTAGGTCGAGTAGCCCAGGACAAAGATGATGCCGACAAGATGCTGGCACGCAAAGACCCCCACAGATATGCCCGTGCGCAGACGATTGGTGCCGCGGAAGCAGTCCGCGAAGCTGGCCTTCTTCTGCAGCGCTTCCTCCTCTATGGTAGTCTGCAACGCGGCAAGCTTCGTCTGTGCATCGAAGTCCTTGCCCCAGAGGCGTTGGAGAGATTTGAGCGCCTTTTCGGATTGATTCTTGCGAGCATGGTACCATGGGCTTTCAGGCACGAACGGCAACCCGACAAGTAGAGTGACGGTGAAGATCATCTGGATGGCGAAGGGGGCTGCATACGCCCAGCGATCGGTCCGCGAGCCAAAAGCCTTGATGACACTGTTGGAGAGGAGCTGACCGATAGCGATGCCGAGGTTGATGCCTGCAGTGGAAAGGCCGCGTATCGCAACGGGGGCGATCTCGCTGCATACTAGGGGCCCGAGGGTAAGGTAAAAGCCGAGACCGACTCCGAGGATGAGCTTGGACATGAGGAAGGCGACTCGGGTGACCGAGAACACTTCTCCAAGACAGCCACCGGCGCAGAGGAGGATGGCGGCCAGCAGGGCAGGTTTTCTTCCCACAAGATCGGCTAGCCAGCTGCAGATGAAGCCACCGAAGAACCCTCCCACCGAGCTGATGACATTGAAGGCAGTCTGCCAATCAGCAGGCAAGACCGGCTCATTGTCGAAGATGTAGCCAAAGTCGCGCCGGAAGGATGGGACTGAGATCATGGCGCCGTTGATTTGAGCGTCGAAGCCCCTGGTGTCATGGTCAGTCTTTCCCTTAAGTGCATGTATATAGGTATGGCATACCAGCCGATAGCACACATGGCCCAGTAGAATGACCAGCCGATCAGTGGTTTATGGTGCTTCCAGACATCCCGGAGAGTCAGAGAGTGCTCGTGGTCATTGTCGGCTGTGGTCCGCATTTTCTTCTCGGCAATTGAAGACGGACCAATAGCCTCGTCATGCTGAACAGAGAGATCTTTTTCTTCCATGTTGTCTTTGTGATATCAAGTTCTGGTGGGCATGAAACAGATCTTCAGCAGCAGAATGGGGAGAGATACCGTCTCTTTATGCAGGAAATGTTGCGCATGGCGTCAAGGGAATAGCCGGTCAAATGCCCTCAAGATGTCATTGGAACCATTCCAACTAAGCAGCCGTCAATTGGTAAACTTACTGCACCCTCTCCGGGTAATTAAGGGCAACGGAGATGGCCAGATGCATGCATGATGCCCCGGATGATCTGGGGTTGTCCATGTGGGGAAAAACCGAGAAAGTCAAGCATCAAACTTTGCCTTACAAAAAGAATCAGCTGGAACTCTCATTTTCGGCTAGACAAAATGCCGCTTAACCCTATCCAGGAGGATGGTGGCTGATGGCCCATGGCTGGTTTTGAACAAGGACCCTCCATCCTCTGTAGGATATAGACTATCTATGGTGTAGTAGTTAAAGTCGTCGACTTGGTAATGATATAGGCTCCAACGAACTGTGCAGCCTATGCTTATAGGATATCAATGGCATTGAGGGGACTACTGTGGACAGTCTTAATCTGAACAGTTTAAACTATATGTGAGCCCAGACAAACCTCAGGGCGAGGATATATCCCTCCTTCCAATGAGTCAAAGTCCTTCGTTTACAGGATTACTCCAAATATCCAGCAAAAGAACGCCCGATCTGCCAAGTTCTTATGCGATCCAGAGTTCCAGAGAATCAGACCATCCAAAGAGCGACATTCCGCGCTGTCCCGCTTCCTCCGTGTGGCTGATTCGTGGCTATTGCTGTCCCCCAGAAAGCGATTCTCCACCGAACCTTAAGTCGGCCACGATAGTCGGCCACGATATAAGAGTCCGTCCAGAACGATACTCCGCGATGGTCTCTTCCTCCGCTATTTCTTCCTTACCAGACACGCAAATAGACTACTCTCACCAACATGCCATCTTCCCCGCAGAGTCCAGATCCAACCCCAGCTAGGACGTCCAAAAGACCCGCCCCCAGAGGCACTGCCGCGTATCCTCGGAAGCGCGCCGTCACAGCCTGTCAAGTCTGCCGTGCTCGACGCACCAAATGTGACAACCTCAAGCCATCCTGTTCATTCTGCCTAAAGGTCGGGGCGAAATGCATCCAATCGCCCGTGGATCTTTCCAGCTATGACCCGGCAAGTCTCAGGATTCTCGAGCGGTTGGATGAGATCGAACAGCACATCCTGCGCTCCCAGCACGATGTTACTGATTTCCCTCCGAAATCGCCACAGAACGTGCGGCTCACCTCGACGGTAACATCGAAAGTCGAGCCGGTAGACCCGGCGCGGGTGCTTGTTCAACCGCTGGAGAACGTCCTTCAGTGGCAATGTCTCGGGCTCGATCCTACCACCCCCGGAACGCAGGAGCAGCTATCGCAGGCATGGTCCGACACCACCAATCTCCCGGCGGTTGATCTCAATGCGCAATTTACCGGATCAGCCGTGGACCGATTCTTCACGCATGTCCACGTCAAGAACCCGATCCTCAACGAACGCGAGACCCGCCGTCTCATTACCCGCATCTCCATGCACGGGATCGACTGGTCGCCCGACTCGTGCCTGGCCTTGCTAGTCTGCGCATTAGGGACACTAGCCACTCCATTCGGCGAGGACCAGTGCCAGACTCACCCGGGTACCGAGGTCTACCAGACCGCACAATCGCTGTACGCGGCCGCCCGGAAACGCATCGGCAGCATCCTCTGCTCCGGAGGCTTGAGGGAGGCTCAATGTCTGTTTTTATCCGGGGTCTACATGATGAGTATGTTCCAGCGGGAGCATGCGTGGAGATACTTCCTACAGGCGCTGGCGTGCTGTCAACAGTTTTCTTTTCTTCGCCCGAGTAAACGATCCGGCCTGCCACAGCAGAGCGACCGCATTGCCGAGCAAGCCATCTACTGGTCTGCCTGGAAATCTGAACGAGAGATTCGCCTTGATCTGCAAGCGCCAGACTTTTCTCTCTCGCAGGCAGAACTGGCGATTTACCCGTCGTTCTTCCCTACCCCGCCGGAATCGCACGAGGTGATTCCTGCTTCTGATCCTACCGCGACGGCCATCGATGAGATTGCACAGCGCGAGCGTCTTGCCTGGTACTTCTACTTGTCCGAGATCTCGCTTCGGCGATTGCACTTCCGCGTCGCCAGTTCCATGCTCCACATGCCAGTTCCACCGGAATCTGATATACTGGAGGAATTGGCGAAGGCGACGGAGGAGCACGAGAAACAGGCTCAGGAATGGGTTACTGCCTTGCCGGCTATCCTCTCACTCCAGGCTCCTCCTGAAGACGACGATATCTGCCGATTCATCCTGAGGGGACACCTCCTCAACCTCTACGAGACGATGTACTGGCCTTTCGTAGACGCTGCGATCAATCGGACAGACTATCAGCATACCCCTGAATGGAGTCCCTTAGTGCGCAGCCTCCTCCAGAAAGGACTCCACCGCCATGCGGAGAGAATGTATGTAAATCAGCCGGGGTTCTACCATCGGCACCATGGCACAGTGTGTCTGATTCGGTCCTGTAATCGGAGCGCCACGATCCTGCTAGCTGCAGCTTCAGTGGTACAGTGTTCTTTGGAACAGGGAGTGCCATCGCCTTTGACACTGCCTGAGAACTGGAAACATGCGGTTGCGCTGGCGATCGATCTGAACCGGTTTTGGGAGGGAGAGTCCGCGGACTGCAGGGCTATGCGGCCGATATTGGAGTTACTGTGGGCGCGAGTACAGTTTTTGGACGATTTATAATATTTTTCTCTTCATAGCATCATCAATGAGATCTGTATGTTGTGTAGCCAGCCGAGCATTCGGGTTTAATCAAGACTGGTTCGGACGATAGCTCACTGTCCAGAGCATGATAGACTTACCGACTCCAGAGCGCTTTAGCCGTGGATTCATCCCGGACTCATTTATCCAGAAGTCTTTCAGACAACTGAAAATCAAACTGTGTTGGAAAAGAATGTCGCATGACTGTGGTTGCCGTTTACCCCACAGCATCGCGGAGTATCGCTCTTAAGGATGAGGGAAGTATACAAGATGAAAAGACCGTATGGGTGACGTGAATCGCCATTAAGGGATAGTTAAAGCTTCCCTCGACTCGACATCTCAAAGCAAGCCAGATTCCCATTCTCTCCCTTTCCCAAAGTGACCATCACTAACTTACTACTCTACCTTCAGTCTATAAGCCATGTCTCCCCACGCCAACGACTCAACCACGCATACTAATCCCGTCTTCAAAGGCAGCCTCCTCCATGTCTCCGGCACATCCATCGTCGATGCATGCGGCAACCCGGTCGTTCTCAAGGGCGCAGCTCTGGGCGGCTACCTCAACATGGAAAACTTCATCACCGGCTACAGCGGCCACGAACACGAGCACCGCGCCCAGATGAGCGCCGTGCTCGGCCCCAAAAAGGCCCAATTCTTCTTCGACCGCTTGATCCACTACTCCTTCACCGAGTCCGACGCCGCCTTCTACGCCTCGCTAGGCCTCAACTGCCTCCGCCTCCCCTTCAACTACCGCCACTTCATCGACGACACCAACCCCACCGTCCTCAAGAAATCCGGCTTCGCCCTCCTCGACCGCATAGTCGGCATCTGCCGCCAGTTCAACCTGTACGTCATCCTCGACCTCCACGCCGTCCCCGGCGGCCAGAACCAAGACTGGCACAGCGACAGCGGGCTCGCCCGAGCCCTCTTCTGGGACTTCAAGGTCTTCCAGGACCAGATGGTCGAGCTGTGGGTCGAGATCGCGAAGCATTACGCGGGGGATCCGGTGATAGCGGGGTACAACCCGCTCAACGAGCCCGCAGACCCCGAGCACACGCGGCTGATAGCGTGGTACGAGCGCGTCGAGCGGGCCATCCGCGCGGTGGATCCGGACCATATCCTCTTCGTGGACGGGAATACCTACGCGATGGACTTCTCGCTGTTCGCCGCCGTCCTCCCCAACACCGTCTATGCGTGCCATGATTATGCGAAGATGGGGTTCCCCGGGCAGGAGGTGTATGCCGGGACGGACGAGCAAAAGGCCAAATTGCGGAGGCAGTTTGAGCGCAAGGTGCGGTTTATGCGGGAGCGCGGGGTGCCGATTTGGAACGGCGAGTTTGGGCCTGTGTATCCTGATGCGCGGGAAGATGGTGCTGAGGCGACGAATAAGGCGAGGTTGGGCGTGCTGAGGGAGCAGCTGAGGATATATGGGGAGAGCCGGATTAGCTGGAGTATCTGGCTGTACAAGGATATCGGGTACCAGGGGATGGTGTATGTTGATCCCGAGTCGCCGTATAGGAAGCTCATTGCGCCGTTTGTGGCGAAGAAGCAGCGTCTCGGGCTGGACTTTTGGGGATGTACGGATAAAGACGGTGTCAAGGACGTCTATGAGCCGTTTCTCCGGGGCTTGCGGGAAATGGTTGGGGCCGAGCTGCTGCAGAAGAAGTATCCGCCTGTCTGGACGTTTGACCGGCAGGTCGAGCGAGTGGTCAGGGAATGTCTGCTGAGTGAGTATCTGGGATGGGAGTTTGCAGAGCTGTTCCGGGGTAAAACGGAGGAGGAGCTGGAGGAGCTGGCTCGGTCATTTTCTTTTGAGAAATGTGTGAAGAGGGATGGCCTGAATCGGGTTCTACAGGAGGATGCAGGACTTCTCAAGAGATAGACTTGTATCCTCCCAAGCTGATATACATGCCAAAATAAAGGCCTCAGTCACTAAACGGCTCACCTGCAGGCCTCTTTGCCACTCAACTCTAGTTGATCGTCATTATCCTGATTTAGAAAGTCAACACTAGTCACATTGTCATCTTTTATTTGTTGATGATGCATGAGCTTGACTAAAAACTTCATGGATTTGTCAGTTCTACTTACTCGCTTTGGAATCAACACAGCCATTTATTCAGTGGATCGCTAGCAAAAGGATTGATAGGATGCTCCCTCAAATACCCGTTCTTCGCCAGACTAAACCATACGTACGCGATGGCTAGACTGGATCTCTCATCCTTCCCCCCGACGTACTCGCCTTCGGGAGAAAGGACTCTACTTGGCTGGTGGATCAACTCCATCTGATACAATCGCCACTGGTCCCAAAAGATAATCCCCAGACGCCTAAAGGCCCGGGTATCGCATCGCCAAAGAGCACTCTGCGGATTATTCCATGAGCCGCCAATCCGGCCATAAAACATCATTCCATAGCCGCGATTCCCCGCAGCGGCTATCGACCTTCCCCAGGAATACCTTTCTGGAGAAATTGTTGTTGTTTTTTGACGAGATATTCTTGTTGTTTCTTGGGGGAAACCAGGCAAAGCCCAGCATGACTTTACAGCCAGACTTTCCGGAGAGGGTAGCCGAGTCAGTGCCGGAAACTTGACGTGGACCGGTGATAAGGGGGTCTGGGATAAATCGTCTAAGCACTCGGTGATTGCGGGAACTTCGTCGTCGCGCAGAGGAATTGAATGGGCCATCGTTACGGACTTGTCGAATAGTCGATCTATGTCTTCCTGCAACCAGGACCAGCGCGTCTCTGCCGCGGCACAAAGTTCGGTGTAGATTTGAATGGCCCACAAGACGCGATGGACGCGGTATTGCTCGACCCAGTGTGGGTGATGGGTGCCTTTGGATTGGAATGGCTCTCCTGGAGGGTCGGGCGCTTTACCCCATAGCCAATCCCAAAGTTTACCATCGGACACGGTTGCGTGGGATGGCGTCGTTGTCTGGATGCGGTGGATAAATGTGTCAAGACAGGCACAAGCTAGACGATGGATCTTGGCCGCTGTCGATACGGCTTGCCTGAGTGCCGCGACTGAGTCCAGTGATCGGAATGATTGGAATGCCTCCAAGGCAGGAGGAAAGGGATCTCCTGGATCGCGTTGAACAAAGTCGAGAATTGTCGAAGGTCTGAAGGGGGTGGTTGAGTAAATAGCAACGAGGAACTAGAAGTTTTCCTCAATCCCATGCCCGGTCATTGGACAAGACTTTAAGACTGCCTCTGTGATATCCGCATAGAAAAGGTTGAACACATTGTTGAGCACAGGGGACATTTGCAGGAGACCGTCGAGGCTGGTGAAATCACAGCATGACTTTAGGATCTGAACGACAATCTCGTTCGGGAGTCTCTGGAATGGATCCATATTTACATTGAGACGATGATAAAGGTGGCAGACTTATTGGCGAGCCTTTTGAAAAAGCGCGTAGGCGACAGAAAGTACAAAAAGACCGGCTTGTTGCCAAGATTACGGCGGACTATTTATACAAAAAGGACACATCACTTTTTTTACTGTTCACCGCACGTATTACCTACTGCCACTACCTCCACAAATATTAAACAGCATATACCTCTCTAAGGATATTAAATACTCAGTAGGGACATCGAATACTATATACTAAGGATATTAAATACCATATAGTATCGATATCAAATACTATACCGTCCCCGATCACCTGACGAACGGTCTCACCTGACGAACGTTTTTCAAGGTCAACTAGAGTATAGAAATAAAGCCATACAGCCACAACGAAATGATAAAATGATTGAATTTTTTGATGGAATAAAATACAATATATGAAAAAGCTATCTAGCTAATTTTTGGTGTTGCGAAACCGCTGGGGAAGCCGTATTTGCCTTCCACGACTGTTTACAGCAATAGGTGCCTCTTCCACTTCTTCCACATTTTTCTTATTAATATCTTCTTTTTTATTTGCTGTATTGGGCACTGCGGCCTTCTTCATCTCTTTATTAGCATGCCTGATATCATTTTGAAGCTGCATAGCAGCTTGTTTTGTGGCCTTCTCCTCTTCTTTCTGGCGTCTCTTTTCCTCTGCTTCCTGTATCCGCACACTCTTAATAAAAGCCCTAGTTCTTTTTCGTTCTTCAATTAAGCGTTGTTTCTCTTCCTTCTCCTGCTGCCTGCGTATCTTATCCTCCTCCTTGGCAACCTTGGCAAGGCGTGCTGTTTCCTCCTTCTCTGCTTGAAGGCCCCGCGCTTGTTGAATCTTCTTAGGGCTGTAAAAGATGGCATTACCATCTTCTGGTGCTTGAAGTTGAAGCTGTAAAGGCTTCCCACGCTGTCGCCTCTTCTGCTCATTTCGTAGAGCATTTTCTAGGCCTTTACAGCGTGTTTTGACAAGGATGTTCTCCGTGGAAAGATGCATTATTGTATCATTCAGTTTCCGCACTTTGACATCATAAACATTAGAAACAACTTGCTCCAGAAGCTTCTCAATGCGACGCCAGTCTTCTGCCTTCAAGACAGATTGCGTAGACTCACTAGAAGAGGGTCTTTCATCTTGTTTCCTGGTGAAGCGCGCTAAAACAACCTCTGGGTTCCAAGGGTTTAAACCAACAGATTCCCATGCACTGTTGATATTTTTGCTTGAAAAAGCCTTATTCCAGCTTGGCCAAAACAGCCGAAAGAAATCTCGCTTTGTAATATGACTTAATCCTTGACATTGATGCATAAATTGCTCCAATTCGTCGCTGTATGCTCGAGAAAGAGGGCTGAAAAGACTGACATCAAGAGGCTGCAAACTATGCGTTGAATGAGGTGGATAGATAGCCAGAAGGATCTTGTTGGCATCACAGAAGTTAATAAACTTCATACTGACGTGGGAGCCATGGCCATCAAGAATTAGAAGTCGCCAACGCCTTCGCGCCTTCTCTTTTGTTTGCGGATCGAATAAAGTTGTAAGCCACGCATATCCTAGCTCATCGTTGGTCCAGCCACTAGGAGAAGATGTAAAAAAGCAGTAATGGTCATCAGGGTTAA